CTGAGTACTCTTTTATCCCCCATTTAAAGACTGTCGAAGCCGTATTTAGCACAACTTTTAAGAATTTTCGGTTTTTAATGCACTAATTTGTTTTTATGTTTTTTTTTTGTTTTGTGGTTAATACCAATCTGATCAGTCAAGTCTTTCCAAATTGATTTTTAAAAGTGTTTTTCTTATGTTGTGCTGTTACCCCACTGTACCATGTTAGGAGGCGTTGATCGCTCACAGACGTGTAACTCCCCCACATCATGTATGTGCCTTTCCAAAGTAAGGAGTCTGTAATCCAGTAGTTGTTGAAGGCCGCAATTTGACCTGTAGTTTTTTACATTTTTATCCTTTGGTTTGATGTTCAGTGGTTGTCGTTTGTTGATGTGGTTCATAAGACTTAGTGTTTCTCGTTTCTCGTTTTTTAAATAGATTAGACCGTTGGTTTTCCTGTTTGAATGGTTTCACACTAGTCATTTTTGGGGCCCTTTATAGCTTGCTGTTCGGTGTGAGCCAAGGCTCCGTGTTGAAGGCTGTACTTTGACCTATAATGGTTTACTTTTACAAATTGTGACTTGGATGGAGAGTTGTCTCATTGGCATTCGTACCACATCTTCTTATATCTATCTGGTGGATAGTTGCTTATCATACCACATTTGCTTATTTTCATATTCATAATTTAGTATTCGGATACGGATTTCGTCCGAATAAGCCTCGTCAGTGGCGATCGATTCAGATCACTTGGAAAGCTCGGAAAACAAAAACAATTACGAAGTTGCAGAGCATAAACCCAAAATTCTTAAAAGTTGGACCAAATATGCCTCAGTTGGATTTGCCTGTGGTACGAAAACCTAATCATTTCGACTAAAGTTAACCTTTTAAAAATAGAATATTCACAGAAAATGACCGTATCAATGATACTGGGCTGGCGATACCCTGTTGAAGTTATGATGCGGTCACAACTACTAGTACTTAATGACAACTTCTGTATGTTGAAAAATAAATATTTCTACCTATTCAACAATATTAAGGGTTTCGTCCTCGAATTTCTTCTAACGCAAAATTTACCGACAAAAAGTTGTGCACTGGACGCTTTCGTGATTTTACTCTATTACTATTCAAGAATTTAACACATACTCAGAACTTTTGATCTGTCTTTTTGGAATGCCTATCATATGATTTCTTCAGATTGGCGAAATTTTCATTTATGTAATGATTCTACAAGGCGATGGTTTTATTATGAGACTACAAAGCAAACTAGTTAATATAATTTTAAGATAAAAATATAAGGTAGTCTTAAAAAATAGTATGAATTTCTTCATTAAAATGAAAATGTCCGCACATAAATTGCAATTTCTGTACTTCAATTTGATAATTTCAGTAAGTTTTTTACTGATGATTTCCAATCCAAAATGGTTGAATACTCTAATGCTTGATGCAGACCGACTTTAACAAGAAATTAAAACAAATTTAGCAAAGCACAATTTTATACGTCACAAAAAAACATGAATAATTATATTATCAATACACAGACATATTTTGTCGAGAATCGTGGTATAATTGCCAATTACCGGTAGACAACTATCCACGAGACTCATGCAGTGACTATATGAAGGATGATGAAGTATACATGAGCAAAAGTAATATATAAAAGGCCCCGGCACGACCAAGTGTGAACCCACAAAACACAAAAACATTGAGAGAATGTTCCAAGAATGTTATGTATTTGTTGTGAGAACGTTGCATATTAACACCCTGTGAATGCAAAAGTGTAGACTCCCTATGCGGTTCCAGCAATGTTGTGAGGGACATTCCTGGAACATTGAAATGATGTTCCCAGTATGAACGTTTAAAGGTGGATGTGGCTGGTATGTAATTCAAACGTTGTTGGGATGTTGTAAATAAAAAAAGAACAAAAACGCACTTTCGCAAATATAAACATGTGCTTGATTCTGGCCTTTGGGCACCTTCTTCCAAGTGGCGAAAAAGCACATGATTGTATATTCTCTAATCTATGAAGGAGACACATTAATTTAACAAAAATGTGTTTTTCTCAAACTGAACAACTGCAGATATAAATTTAAGAATGAAATGAAAGAGTTTTTTGAATAACTGTATTGTATCATTGGCATTTATACCCCTATTATTTCTGTACGTAATAAGTTAGTAGCACGTGCACGTGATTGCTACTAGTACTATATAAGAAACAACTTCCTTCAATGTAAATGAAGTATTTATTAACACACAAATGAAAGCATTTAAGCATTTGTATTAAAATAAAACAATTTTCTCAAGTATAAAGATTCTTTGAAACATTAAGTAAAATAAACAGTTCTTATGCAAATGCCTTAACTATGTTCACTTTGCATGTGGTGCTTCACTTATTTTCGTGAATGTGCATGCCTTTACACATGTAAAATGCATGTAGCAGCTTCACTCACTTGTGAACGTGCATGCCTTCACACATGTACAATGCATGTGGCAGCTTCACTCACTTGTGAACGTGCACGCCTTCACACATGTACAATGCATGTGGCAGCTTCACTCACTTGTGAACGTGCACGCCTTCACACATGAACAATGCATGTGGCAGCTTCACTCACTTGTGAACGTGCATGCCTTCACACGTAAAATGCATGTGGCAGCTTCACTCACTTGTGAACGTGCACGCCTTCACACATGTAAAATGCATGTGGCAGCTTCACTCACGTGTTTAAATGGGCACACCACCATGAAATCAATTATATTAGGCCCTACTTCTATACAAATTTAGAGTATTAAAAGATTGGATAACTTAATTATATTCTAATGTTTTTATTTATATTACAATCGGTTATTAAAAAAAACAGTGTAGCTGCATTATATGGACTCACATTCAAATACATAATGCATATTGTTCAAAGTTTTATTCGTCACCGACTTCATGAATATTAACAAAACAATAATGAACAATAGTAAATCTACTGGCAAATAATTAGGCCTTCAGTGCAAGCAATATACAAGAGACAAAAAAAAAAAAAAAAAAAACAAGTAAAAAAATAAATCTTTACAACCAACAGTGTATTAACTTAATTAATCAATTCTCAAAAAAGTATAATAAAACATATTTAATAAAGTGGGTAACCCTTGTAAAAATGTATGTCTGACACGGTAGATCAGTCGGATTCTGCTTGTGCTTGATGTTCAACAGTTCGAGCTGCAGCAGGATCAGGAGCAGTACTTCAAAAGAGAAAAACCAACAGTGTAATGTAAGAACCTACCTTTTTGGAGATACAATACCAATTCAATACTACAAAAACTTAAATGTATTCCGTATAAGAGATACGTTTATATGTCAAAATTTATAACGCTTAGCCGATAATGTATTCTGACCTTAATTGTTACCAATGACCCTGTATGCTGCGGATAAGTGTTTTTTTTTTTTTTTTTTTGAAGATAAAGCAATTGGTTTATACATTGTTATAGTTGAAAAGATATTACGTGGATTACATGCACTTTCGTTACAATGACATTCCTAAATAACCCTAAAGACAATATATATAGGGCAACATATGCTGCGATCTAAAAAAAAAAAAAAAAAAAAAAAGAACTGAGTACAAATTAAGAATTTTATACATGTTATTATTAATGACTTTACTTCTCTTTTTTTTAAATAACATGTGCCCTTTGACACCCTTTGAATATTTGGATTTTATAGCCTCTGGTGCAGTTTTACTTGAGTTAATAGAAATAAGAAGATGTGGTATGAGTGCCAATGAGACAACTCTCCATCTAAGTCACAATGTGTAAAAAGTAATCAATTATAGGTCAAAGTACGGCTTAAATTTCAACACGGAGCCTTGAGTTAAGCCTTTTTCAACTGATTTTTATAGTCTGTTCTTCTGTAGTCTTGTCAGTTACCATGGTTACGCCACTGTCTTAGGTTAGGGGAGAGTTGATCGCTCACAAACATGTTTTACCCCGCCACATTCTTTTTGTGACTGTCCCAAGTCAGGAGCCTGTAGTTCTGTGGTTGTTATTAGTTCATGTCTGTCATAATTATTTGTTTTTCGTAAATTGTTTTGTTATAAATTAGGCATTTATAGTTTTCTCAATTGTATTGTTTCATATTTTTCATGTCGGAGCCTTTTATAGCCGACCATACGGGATGGGTTTTTCTCATTGTTGAAGGCCGTAAGGCTTACATCCACTTCATTTGAACTTTGGTGGATAGTTCTCTCATTGGCAATCATACCACATCTCCTTATTTTTATATTGGTCAGTATCGTTTATTGTTATTATATCAACACATGAGATGTGGTATGATTTTCAATAGGACCATAACTATCCACCAGCCATATTTATTCATTTGTTCAAAAGATATAATCCGCATGACATAATTCAAGGTTGATTTAAGAGGGTCTTTAACGGTGGTCTAGAGCGGCGGGTAGGCAAATCATGGGATTATTTTGTTGGAACAATTACGGAAAAGTTGACGTATTAACTACCAAGTTCTATAAAAAGTGCAACACCCTATAAGTCGATCTTAGATTCCTTGATTCATGTCGCAAAATCAAAGTTTTTCAAACTTATCATAATTGTTAGATTGGGTTTGATGCACAGGCGATAGGGGAAGCCCCCTTTTCTCTATATATTTGTTTGTGTTTTATTTTTATTTAATGCATGTTCCTTTTATATTTTTATCATAATTGTATTGTAAAATCGTATGGATAATTAGGACAAGAACATATTAATTAAGAGAAGATAAGTATACATGGTATAGTAAAGTGGCCGTAAGGATTATTCAGGCTAAAAAAAATAAAACACAAACAAATATATATTTATATAGAAAAGGGAGTTTCATTTCCCCAAGCACCTGTGGATTGATGGGCAAGTAAGAATGTTGCATACCCAAACAACAAGTAATCATTTGGGTCCTAAAGGGCAATACGTCGACTTGATTGGTCCCTTGTTGTTCATAAATTGGGCGATTGCTGGTACTCAGACATTTCTATCAACGCATGCGCAGTCACCAAAAAGCGCGCAATTTGAATTTCCGTCACTTTGAAAAATGAGTGATTGTAAATAATGAAATGAATGAGTATTTCTAGACCGATAGAATATTTTCTAAACTATTGACACATCCATTCAGGTAAAACCCACAAATACTCAATGTTGAAATGTAATATAGGTTTCTTAGAAAGGAAAGATTGTACATGCAAATTTTGAAAAAGGGGGAGTTCTTAGCTGATAGATCGCAGGCACTTGTTTCATCATCATGCGATACTCCGCCGATAGTAAAGGTTCCCTCCCTCTTACCTTCCACATGCACTTGTTCATTCAATAGCCATTATAGGAAAGTCCTTCTCGTCTTCCTTACTTTTATTTTCGCATGAAACAAGTTCTGGTTTGGCAGATCCAGATTTTACACAATAATATTGCCATTCATATGTTTTCATGTCGTTCACATTTCATCCGTTTTGATTTCCCTCTCATACTTTGTGACATGTCTTGTTTCTAAATTAGGAACGGCATCAACACTACATCGCGATAAATATTAAACATTACCACCATGTTCACAGTCGCTTAGACATGTTAGATATGGCACAAAATGTGCACAATAATTAAGTAATCTTGTTTCGTAACCTCCATGGACACAATGGTTACATTGTTGAAGTTGCTTTTAAAGACCTAAAAACCATTTTTTCATGTCAAAAATATGCATCACTAGAAAAGCTGTTGAGAGAAATTCTGGAGGGTTGCAAGAGTTATACATTTTGTAGCTGTGTCAACTGCCTCTTGGACAACAGATCTTCAAGTTACATGACTATTATGTGGTTATTGATCATTTCTGTCAAAAATCTTCGAGTTGGAGTTATCATGGTTAATAATTATAAGGTCTTAAAAGGCTATTTTAATTTTTTTGCTGTGACGCCTTCCTGCGACTTCAAAGCCATTTTTTTTCTGATGGACTTTGAGAGAAAATTTCATTCTCAACTTTGAGACCCTATATTGCCATGAAATCTTCACTGACTGCTAGCAATTTTTGTCGAGCCTGCGACTTTTGTCGCAGAAAGCTCGACATAGGGATAGTGATCCGGCTACGGCGGCGGCGGCGTTAGCTAACTTCTTAAATGCTTTATAATTTAGAAGGTGGAAGACCTGGATGCTTCATACTTTGTATATGGATGCCTCATGTTACGAAGTTTCCGTCAGTCACATGTCTAATGGCAGATTCCATATAAGAAAGTGAAACAACTCCCATAAGCACGTGTGGCAAAAATCATAATCAATGAACTTCTGTTTTTGAATACATGCTATACTAATAAAGATAAAGACAATTTGACAAAAAAAAAAATTATGAGCATCATCCTTTTTAAATAAACGAAGCCTTAAATATTATGTTTCTGACATAAGATTTGACAGACTTTATTGTTTCTGACATAAGATTTGACAGACTTTATTGTTTCTGACATAAGATTTGACAGACTTTATTTTTTCTGACATAAGATTTGACAGACTTTATTATTTCTGACATAAGATTTGACAGACTTTATTTTTTCTGACATAAGATTTGACAGACTTTATTATTTCTGACATAAGATTTGACAGACAAATTGAGTTTCTGACATAAGATTTTGACAGACTTGATTCTGACATAAGATTTTTCATACATAAGATATTTTGACAGACAATATATATTTGGTTTTTTTTGACTGACATTGGAAATCAAATCCTAGTTGAAAGTCATTTTTAAAACTCCTGGAAAATACTGCAGCCTAACATCTAACAAGATTTCACTACAGGTCAAAGAACTTTAACTGTTAGCACATTCAAATGTTTCAGACATAAGAAAACAAGTTTGACAGATCTTATGTAGGAAACATATAAGTTAAAACTATTGCTTGAATAAAGTTAAATGAAAGAATCAACATGTGTTTTTTCTTATGCACAGCATGACTTACAGTTTTAACTGGCATATATTGGAACCTACAATGATTTTGAAAGTTTTTACAGCGATGTTCCTGACATAAGATTTATTGACAGACACTGAGCTATAAAGCAAGATATTTGAAAATGAAAAAAAATGTATATCACAGATGTTTTTGACTAAAAAAAGTAACAAATTTGGGAACAGTTATGTTTGAATAACCAGACTACACTAGTAAATACCAGTATACAAGTGTCAACATAAAGCATTGCAATACATAAACATTGTGTAAAAAAATGGGAGTTAATTCTGTCAAAATTTTTGCATTTTTTCAACTTGTTTTAATCATTTCTACTTTAAACGGAAACAATCATATCCAAAAATTATTTTTATAATTTCTTCTAACATCATTATTCCTCAAAACATTCACAGATTATCTTTAAAATAACAGTAATTATTATTTTTATTTATTTATTCATTTTGACAGACATTTCAATTTCTTATATGGAATCTGCCATATGTCCTTGACCTCATTTTTATGGTTCAGTGACTACTTGAAAAAAAAGTTAACATTTTTTGTAATGTTAAATTCTCTCTTATTATAAGTAGTAGGATAACTATATTTGGTATGTGCGTACCTTGCAAGGTCCTCATGCCCGTCAGACAGTTTTCACTTGACCTCGACCTCATTTCATGGATCAGTGAACAAGGTTAAGTTTTGGTGGTCAAGTCCATATCTCAGATACTATAAGCAATTGGGCAAGTATATTCTGTGTATGGAAGGACTGTAAGGTGTACATGTCCAACTGGCAGTTGTCATCTGACCTTGACCTCATTTTCATGGTTCAGTGGTTATAGTTGAGTGTTTGTGTTTTGGTCTGTTTTTCTTATACTGTATGCAATAGGTCTACTATATTTGGTGTATGGAATGATTGTAAGGTGTACATATCTAGCTTGCAGGTGTCATTTGACCTTGACCTCATTTTCATGGTTCAGTGGTTATAGTTAAGTTTTTGTGTTTTGGTCTGTTTTTCTTATACTGTATGCAATAGGTCTACTATATTTGGTGTATGGAATGATTGTAAGGTGTACATGTCTAGCTGGCAGGTGTCATTTGACCTTGACCTCATTTTCATGGTTCAGTAGTCAATGTTAAGATTTAGAGTTTTAGTCTTTTTTTCTAATACTATATGCAATAGGTCAACTATATTTGGTGTATGGAAATATTTTATGATCTATATGTCTGTCGCGCAGGTTTTATTTGACCTTGACCTCATTTTCACAATTCATTGCTCAGTGTTAAGTTTTTGTGTTTTGGGCTGTTTTTCTTAAACTATAAGCAATAGGTCAACTATATTTGTTGTATGGAAGAATTGTTAGCTGTATATGCCTGCCTGGCATGGTTCATCTGACCTTGACCTCATTTTCATGGTTCATTGGTCAATGTTTAGTTTTCTTGGTTAATGTTAAGTTTATGTGACAGTTGTAAAAAAGCTTTATATTTAGGACTATCAACATAATATCAGTGATTAGTAAAGAAGGCGAGACATTTCAGCGTGTGCACTCTTGTTTCATATATATACATGTATAAATTCGCACCTTTTGTATGCTTGTTGATGCTAAACTTTTCCAGAAATTTCTAAAAGTAATGATATATTAAGTTACAATTCCATATGCAGTGTTCTCCCCAGGATTTTTTTAAGGCGCAAAATTCATGGGCGCGTAACTCTTTTTTTAGAGTGAACGTTTGTGATCTGAAGCAATAAGTCATAAATCATGACATGCAATATGAATTATAATGCTATGTGTTATGTGTTTAATAATGCAGAGTATTAATGAATTACAAGAATATATATATGAAATAAATTGATTTTAAACACAAAAGTTATTTATATTCAGTCAATTAAAGAAGTCAAAATATAAATATTCATCTCTACTCTCTGCTCCTTCTAGGGATATTGTTTCAAAATAGTGTTATTTTGTTGGACTGTGACAATGAGTCTGTTCCTCAAATTTGTCTTTATCCTCTTCAGGGTTTAAAATTAAACCCCCACTCACAATAACTTTTGCTTATACCCCCTTTAACATTACTAAGCCATGAAAACTCAGTCAGCCACTTGTCATTGAAACCAGAAACATGGTGCTTGCTTTTATCAATTGCTAAAACTTGAGCTTGGTTGGGATTAGGAGAAGCAATGAAATCTGCTTATACTGACAGTGTAGACGGAGGTGTATTCCCCTTTTCAATAGAAGTCATTGGTCTGAAAAAAACTTCTACTTCCATCATCTACCTTTTACTTATAATTCACCCCTTTGTTATTTGCAGAGAACATGTTCATTCAGAATTAATAAAATCGAATATGGTTAAGATATTTGGTATACAACTTTTTAAAACAATTTTTTTTTATAAATGAACAGCTGACCAGTTTCCGTAGTTTCACATTACGGTTCCGTGCGTTGTTTAATCCTATCTTTGGCAGATAGATATAAACGAAACTTTACAAATTCGTTAAAGTTAAAACCATTGAAATTATTTACCAGTGACATTATACAGAAGATGCGGCGATTCTGTACCCGTGTTGATTGTCACATATTTCCCGACGCACGGATTCACGATCGATGTTCAATGATCATTTTATTTCTAAAAATATGACAGTTTCAGACGAATTTACCTTGCAAGAAACATTTTTTCACTTTCTATTAAAGTAAATCACTCCTCGTTGTCTTTAATCAAACTTTATTTTAATTTTTTCAACTACTAATACTTTCATTCATAGTTTTCATCGTAAATATCTTTAGCAATGTGTATTCAAATTTATCATGTGTATTCAACACGTTCATTGGTCGTGTTTAAATAGATTCTTCTTCTCGACCAATGAAAAAATTCGTTATATAAATGGCCAAGTGATCACACACACGATGCGTTAATACAATGCATTTGCGATCTATTTCTTCAATTTCTGCACTGAAGTTTTTAAAATTTTTAATTTTCTTCAAAAATATCTATCTTCTTGATGATCATTTACGCTATTACCTGATAACATAATCCGATAAGGCTGAGATAAGCGTGTCTCAGGTAAAACTAATTATCAGTTATTGCGTAACACTGACCGACCCATCAGCGGTGATCAGTAACTTGACAATTTTAACCAACATTTATAATGAAAATGTGAAAATTAACAAGCTGCCGGATCAAGTATTAAGGGACAGCGGCCAATTAAGACGCTGCGGGATCTACAAAAATATTATGAAGGCGGTGCGGCACCGCAGCGTCATATCGGCCTGGGGAGAACACTGATATGAGGTATCTATGACCTACTGGTTTTTTCAAAAAGGTTTCCCTAATTTCCAAAGTTCGTTTACTTTCAGAGAGTATTATATAAATTGTTGCACCGAACTCAGTAACTTTTGCAGACCCGAATTTCTGGAACGTTCAATTTATATTATTCAGAAATTCGGGTCCGTCAAATTTTACCGAGTTCTGTGCAAATATTTATTAGTACTGGAAAATATAAAATAAAAGTTTATCACCTGGATTTACGCAATCACAAGAACTACAATTTTTTAAAACATTCATTTCCAGATTTTTTAGCCATTTCCTGTCCACATATTGATCCCATTTTTATTTGATATGAAAACATATGACACATATGCATTTTTATGACTATGAAAATCGCAAAGTAAACGGAAATTGTAAAAATACGAAGTAAGCTCTGACAAATAAATCTAAGCCCAACAAATGTAAATATAAACTCAACAGTTAGCAGTGAAAATTGTTATTAGTACGAAAAAAACATATCACATGAGGATAAAGTTGGCTGATAATGTTTTTTACAGAGACTTCCAGATCATAATGTAAAACAGGGACTTGGAATATTTTTCAAGCTGCATGATATAATAAGCTGTGGAACTGTAACTCTTATGGTCCTTATGATATATTTTGACCATGTTGACAATTTGGGATTGTCTGCAAATTGTCAAAAATATAATAAGTTATAGCTACGGTTCCACATCTACATGTATGATATAATATGATATGATCAAGCAATTAAAATGAAAAGTATGACTTAAGGAAAATGCTACAGATATTTGTCAAATCTAGTTACAAATGTATGTCTCCATGAAAAAGGAAAAAGCATGCTAGCTAAAGCACTATTTATTGTGAAAAATTATGATGGGATATGGGCAAGAATTCGCTAATGAAATTTTTAGGGTCAATAGTGTTTATCCAATAAAAAAATCATGCAAATATGGAGAATAAACATTGTTTAAATATCAAAGTGGGTTAATCTTTATTGCCACATGCAAAAAAAATGGATCTGATCAAAAAAATTAACAAGAAATCAGCACTTGTTATCTGCCGCCAATGGAAAATTATAGATAAAAAGTGTGACATTTCTGCAGTGGCAAAACCCCAAGTCATATTTAAAATATGCCTGAAAAATTGTTCTACTGTAATAGTTTATTCAAAATATATGAAAAGGGGGGTAGTCAATCTCTCAGCTGCTCTCCTATACCACAAAATGTGTAGCAACCAAGTATAAAAAATAAGCGAGTGCAGAGTGTTAATTTTAATGATTGGTGTAAATTCATGTATACAAGATAAGTACAAGTTTATACTTATACTAATATGAAATTGACTTTTTTCAGTGAAGAATGAATATCAGTAATTTAATGGAATTTTCACTGATGGATGATGAAGAGAATCAATTCAGTATTCCTTCATTGGCACAGACTCCCGTAGTCAAGAACTCTATACTGAAACCTTCCACGAAAGATAATCTCATACAACTATCAACACCTGTTCATAAAAACCTCAAGGTAAGGGCATGGAGAGTTGTCTCATTGGCACTCGTACCACATCTTCTTATTTATTTGAATAACAAAAGTCAACTTGACCCTGTAGCTGGCCAGGCTTAATCAATGTGTTTTGGGAATGATTCTTATACATGTTATATTCCCATTTTCATTTTTGGGAAGTTTCTATGGAAAAGTTTCTTTTATTGTGACCACAAGGCGTAATTACCTTCACAGCTGAGCTAATGTTTAAACGTTACAAATGGGGATTTTCAAGGGATTAGTAAACAGGTAAATACATGTAAGGTGCTTTCAGTTTAAAACAGACAAACAAGAAATATCATTGGCCCATAAGAACCCTGCATTTAAATTTGAAATCAAAATTAGTTCCAGGGTAAGTTGATGATTATAAGAATCTTACATGATTTTGAATTAACCATGTTAACTCTAAAATGGAAATGGATCCTTTCACAGAATCATGCTGGATTAATAAAAAAAAGTACGAAAACTCTGGATAACTTTGAAGACTGGGATGCAACTTTATATGGTACATTTGTAGATAATTGTAGCACATTTTTTCTCCAGCAACACTATGCTCGATATTATATTTTATTTTGACACAATCACTTAAGTAAGTCTGTTGTTTAAAAGGTCGTGTAAAAATAGGGAAAAATTTAAATATATTTATGAAAAAAATGAAAACAACACGTTATAATCTTCATGCGTCCGAAGCGCTTTCCTGGATTTACCTTCATCATGAATGCTCAAAGCCAAATATTTGAATGCCAAGGATGTATAAGGACCAAAAACATTGAAGAGCTATAAATTAAAAAGGAATGACTTTCTTGTACATTTCATGGGTTTTTCAATTGAAGTTTTAATTTTCATACTTATTTTTTTTCAGGTAAAATTTCAGACCCCACAGACTGCACACAAAGTGACACCAACAAGGTACGAACAAATTAAAGAATTAGATGATCAAGAAAATTGGGCAGAAAGAACGACAGTTGTATTAAAGTGTGATCATGAAGAAAATACTAAGAATGCTCAAGCTATTTTACATGACCTTATTTACCAGTGTTTAGATAGGTAATTGAATAAGTGTGTAATTAGATATAAGAAGATGTGGTATGAGTGCCAATGAGACAACTCTCCATCCAAGTCAAAATTTATAAAAGTAAACCATTATAGGTCAAAGTACGGTCTTCAACACGGAGCCTTGGCTCACACCGAACAGCAAGCTATAAAGGGCCCCAAAAATTACTAGTGTAAAACCATTCAAACGGGAAAACCAACGGTCTATTCTATATAAAAAACGAGAAACACTTATGAACCACATCAACAAACGACAACTACTGAACATCAGATTCCTCACTTAGGACATGTGCAAACAATTGTAGCGGGTTTTAATGATACCAAACCTTCACCCTTATCTGAAACAAAAGGGCAAAGTCAAAATAAATGGTTCCCTGCATATAAAGCAATATTTATCAATCATACTGATCATTTGATTGAATAAAGTAATTTCAAATAATGTGGCTTGATGTGTAGAATATTACTGCAAAATATCTTTGGAAAATCTCAAGTATTAAAAAAATGACGTTAAAAAAAGATGCCAAAATTGTCAGGAGTGCAACACTTTTTTGTGACATTTTGAAAAAATGCTTTTTTTTAAAGACACATCAAATTGTTGTATGGAGGTATGTGCCTTAAATTCTAATTTGTTTTACAACTATTATGTCTTAGTGATGAATTAAGCTCAGAATGAAGCTTTTCCGTTAAACCATTTTGATACAGATGTGTTTTGAAAAAAAGTAGTGCCCTGTCAGGAGTGCAACACATAAATTAGTACTACTGAGGAATAGAATGTTTTTTTAATAAATGAATCACACCTAAACATAAACAAAAGTCAATCCTGTAAAACAAATTTGTCCTTTCCAGAATGAATACTTCATTTACCTGATTATTGGTATAAATAATGTGTGAGAGTCAAGTAAATAAGGCCTCCCTATGAGTGTCAGGAGTGCAACTTTGAAGTTTAAAGACTCACACCTAATAAATACAAAAGCCAACATATTATTCTGTTTTATTTTTCAAAAGATACTATACTAGATACAAGATTGCACCCAAAGAGTAGCCTGATAAACAAGGAATTTATCTTTTTGAGCCATTTCTTTGATGTCAGGAGTGCAACAGTTTTAAAATTTTATTTTCTTGGACTTATATTTTAAGATAATATCAGCTCCTTATGACTTATTTGCATCTAAACATGTTTTCTAACTATTTAGGCTACATGTATGAGTTATAATAAATTTCTAAAGGTGAATTTCAAACCAGGACTTTGATCCAAGAATTATTTTTTGTCACAAGCAAAAATATCTGAATGATGAATTTTCATATTATTTTCAAATTATGGAAGCTTATTGTCTTAAACTTTGTCTTTTGATTAGGAAATAACCATATTTCAATTTAAAAGTTTTATAATGGTTTCATGTAATACTAATTAAATTATTATAATTGTTATAACAAACAATTAATTTTGTTGCACTCCTGACATGAATTTACCATAACAAGCAGTTTTGCACATTTTGAGTTCAATTTTTATGATCCAACCTTTGAATGAATGAAAGATGGGAAAGATGGTTGTGAAACTGAACTTTAGAAGAAAATCAGACAGGCTAAGTGCATACAAACACACCATCAAAGTCAACAACAACTTCAACTTTGAGGAGTAGAAAATTGAGAAAAACACTGAAAGAAGATCCAAATCTGAAGGACAAACTAGACAAATATAATCAAAGAAAGTACAAAGAAAACAAAACAATGTAAAACTAAATTCAAAAAACATAGACCAGAATTAAAAACACATATGAGAAAATGAAAACAAAACAGAGAAAGTGGCAACAGAAGAGAAGAAGAAAATTGACACAAGCTAAAAAAAGTGCAAACCAGCAGAAAATTGTCCAGTCAAGTAGCAGAAGTACAGATGCAGTTACAATACCTAGAAAAATCAGAAAGAGAAGTCAAAGAATAAGACATTATCTTCCTGACCATCCCAAACCTTGGGCTAAAATAATTGAGCACATCATATCCATGCACAGCTACACCAAGGTGGTTGTCCGAGTTAATGAGAACTGATGGCAGCTGTGTGCAAGAAATTGATGAGTCTTGAACATGTTGAGTATAAACAAAGTTGAGGAACCCCTCAAAGATCTGAAAACTGTTGAAAAGAAAATGGCATTTTCAAAGAGTCCCTTAGTTCTAAACTTTTCAGTTAGCCTTCTTATCTTTTTGAAAATGCCAGTTTCTTTTCAACAGTTTCCAGATGTTAAGGGGTCTCTCAACTTTGTTTCCACTTCGACACCCATCAATTTCTTGCACACTTCCATCAGTACTGATTAGTTCTTACAACTGCCTTGGTGTAGCTGTGAATATAAGGTATTCAATTGTTTTAGGCCAAGGTTTGGGTTGAAGAAGGAAGAATTTCCTTATACTTTGTCTTCTCTTTCTGATTTTTCTAGAAAGTGTATCTGCACCGGTACTTTTGCTTCTCGACTGGACATTTTTCTGTTGGTTTGCAACTTTTTTGGTTTGTGTCAATTTTCTTCTTCTCTTCTGTTGCCAATCTCTGTTTTGTTTTTTTCATTTTCTCCATCTGTGTTTTTGTCTTCAGGTCTAAGTCTTTGTAATTTAATTTTACATTGTTTTGTTTTGTTTTCTTTGCTTATACTTGTCTAGTGTTTTCTTTAGGTGAATCTTCTTTCAGAGTTTTTCTCAATTTTCTGCTCATCAAAATTGAAGTTGTTGTTGACTTTGATGGTGTGTTTGTATGCACTTAGCCTGTCTGAATTTCTTCTAAAGTTCAGTTTCACAACCATCTTTCACATCTTTCATTCATTCAAAGGTTGGATCATAAAAATTGAACTCAAAATGTGCAAAACTGCTTGTTATGGAAAATTCATGTCAGGAGTTCAACACAAATAATTGTTTGTTATTACAGATATAATAATTTGATTAGTATTACATGAAACCATTATAAAACTTTTAAATTGAAATATGGTTATTTTCTTATCAAAAGACACAGTTTATGACAATAAGCTTCCATAATTTGAAAATAATATAAAAATTCATCATTCAGATATAATTGCTTGTGACAAACAATAATTTTTGGAAAAGTCCTGGTTTGAAATTCACCTTTAGGAATTTATTATAACTCATACATGTAGCCTAAATAGCAAGAAAACATATTTGAAGGCAAATAAGTCATAAGGAGCTGATATTATCTTAAAATATAAGTCCAAGAAAATAACATTTTAAAACTGTTGCACTCCAAACATCAAAGAAATGGTGCAAAAAGATAAATTCCTTGTCTATCAGGCTACTCTTTGGGTGCAATCTTGTATCTAGTATAGTATCTTTTGAAAAATAAAACAGAACAATATGTTGGCTTTTGTATTTATTAAGTGTGAGTCTTTAGACTTCAAAGTTGCACTCCTGACCATTTATAGGGAAGCCTTTTTTACTTGACTATCACACATTATTTATATCAATAATCAGGTTAATAAAGTATTTATTCTGGAAAGGACATATCTTTTTTACAGGATTGACTTTTGTTTATGTTTAAGTGTGATTCATATATTCCAAAATCATTTATTCCTCAGTTGTACTAATTTTTGTGTTGCACTCCTGACAGGGCACTACTTTTTTCCAAACACATCTGTATCAAAATGGTTTAATGGAAAAGCTTCATTCTGAGCTTAAATCATCACTAAGACATAATAGTTGTAAAGCAAATTAGAATTTAAGGCGCACATCTTCAGACAACAATTTGCTGTGTCTTTAAAAAAAAGTATTTTTTCAAAATGTCACAAAAAAGTGTTGCACTCCTGACAATTTTGGCATCTTTTTTTAACGTCATTTTTTTAATACTTGAGATTTTCCAAAGATATTTTGCAGTAATATTCTACACAACAAGCCACAAAATTCAGCCCATTCTAAAACAGCAAAGACTGCCATTTAAAAAAAATAGTAGCGTAATGTGATGAGACTTGAACTTCTGTATACAATAAGTAATAGATATGAAAAAGTTCAAAAATATTGTTTAAATGAAATTAAAACGTTAAATCTGAAAGGTATATACACTTCATCTAGAAATCATGGGCTATTTTGATGATATATAACTGTTTTGATATGATATATACTGAGTGTCAGGAGTGCAACAGAATGGGAGAAATGAAGTACCTTATACAGGTAATAATTTAAAAAGAAATTATAGTTCAGAAAAACTTTGAAGATTGCAGATCTCTTTATAAGTTGTCAAACAACAATTCTGCTGAATATTTAATAGAATTTAGTTCATAGTTTGGTAACTTAACCTGATTTTAATAATAATGTGTCAGAGAAATCAATTTAAATATGAACTGAAGTGCATAAGATGCATAAGTTAAAATAGAAATAACATTCAAATGACAGATTTAGGTCTTTATAAATCAGCAATGATTACAAATTTTTAAAAATCATGAGTATTTTGTTCTAGTTTCTGTATTTTTTGTTTGGTGTATAATATGTCAGGAGTGCAACAAAAACAGGGGAAATTGGATGTATTTTCTTTTTGATATATCTTCTTTATTAAAAGATTTATCAATCAGTTTTTTTTTCCTCGGTGAATTTGAAGAGGGTTCATTTTAATATGGAGAAGTTTTTTTATCAACTAATTGATGATTTATGTTTTAATCAAAACTTTTTCAATCAATTTTAAGTGAATTGATACAAAAAAAAGCCAAAAACGTAAAAAAAAAAGTGATAATCAAAGAGGAGATTATTAATCATTGCATCAAAAGTAATGTTTGGATCTCTGCAATTAATTGGGGTGAAAAAAATATAAATATTTGATATTGTTTGTCTGAAATCATATTCCAAAAATGTATACTTGATTTAAATTTTGTTTATTGGTTTATGTCAATAAAGTTTCAGAACTTTTTTATTTCTTTATACTTTTTTATATCCTTTTGGATTTATTAACTTAAATGTATATGTATCAAGATACAACAAAAGAAAATGCACTGAAACAATGTTGAAATTTGGTCAAAAATTTAAAATTTGGACCATTTATTTTGACTTTGCCCAATAGTGTAACATCACAACATGTAGGTATTTATGCATGTAATGAAAGGGATCAAGATTTTGGTATTTTTTTTATGAAGCACTTTATGAATCTTTAATTTGAAAACATTGATGTCTTAATTGCAAGGATTTTTAAACTATTTGAAATTTGATTCAGACATACATTGTTTATTTGCTTTATCTAGATAAATTCACTGAATGTGAATCAGTCTCTCTTCCCTTTCAATACTTTAAAGTTTACATCAGTTTTCCTTGAAATTATGGGAATCATATACTATTAGTTACACAGTGTGCAATTGTCCTAATACGTGAATTTATCGGGTCAATAAAATTCATATCGGCATCGGGTGAGGTGAAGCCAAAATCCGATATGAATTTTATTGACCTGATAAATTCTGTATTAGGACAATTGCACACTGTGTAACCAATTTATCCTGATTTTGTTATCAAACCACTTATTCAGATATTTTTTTTAAAATAGTATTTAAAATATTAATTATTTGGACAATATCAACCAAATATATATAGATATTTAATCTAAAACTGTGAAAAATGAAAAATATTAAGATTTTTTTTTTTATTAAGTCAATGGTATAAGGGAGATAATTCGAATTGAATTAATAAAAAATTGCATTGAAATTTATTAGGACAATATCAGCCAATCAAATTGTGAGAAATTACTCTAAATCAGGATAAATAAATTTATATCATTGATGATAATCAAATGTTAATATCAGCAATGTCTTTGACAAGTTCGAATATCAGTGTAGATCCATCAACAGGAGTTGTGCGCATTGGGAATGTATATTATTTGGAAAATCTCATTGTAATCTCTTTCATCCCTTTATTTAAGGAATAATAACCATGTGATCAAGATAACCTTAAACAGACGAAAGAAATGTAAAGATTATAAATACATATTGAGCAGTGCATTGCTATAAAACAACACAAAATGAATAACATACTGTAAATTCAGAAATTTTGCATTCATTTATTATTGCGATTTGAGGAAAAATGCACACACTTGCAAGATTAATTATTGTGATTTCAGGAATTGATACATACAACTTACAGTACTAAATATACTGTAGGTTATTCATATTTGTTTAAACTAACAAGCACTGTGAATGTGTAAGCCAATATCAGTGTTTATTTTTGATATACTGTATTTTATTTTAAATACAATGGAAAAGTGTTATTTCTTTGCAGCAACAAGGCAAGCAATGATGAGGACCCTGTGAAAGACGACAATGGTCAAGTAACAGTGACAGGAACTTCATTACCAATGGTTTCAGAAGAGACACAAAACATCAGTGATGACTGTATCACAAAAGCTGACAATTTATCTTCTCAAGGTCCTGAAAATGTGCAGAAAGTTGAAAAGGAAACCCCTGGTTCGCCAATCATCCCAGCTAAGTCTGGGGGATATTCAGTAGATTTTGACAATTTGGATACTATTGATCCATTTAAAGCCAAAGGGGGTTTGTCGATTTCCCCCTCTTCACAAAAAATAGAAATATTAGCTCCTGGTGACAATCAGGCTGAGAGTGATAGTGAAAAGCTGTTAGAAGACATTGAACTCCTTGATATAAAATTAGAAGACATTGCTGATATCACTCTCTCAGAAAACGTGCCATGTGAAGAAGGGGACACAACTGTTATTGAAAACAAACATTTGGGAGAAGGGGGTGTAATTGTTGATGAAAGCAAACAGACAGAGGACAAAGATTTAACGGTGATTGAAAATAAGTGCAAAAATGAAATTGATGATATTTCACCAGAAATTAAAGAAAATAAACAATCGCATGATATAGATCTTGAAAGTATAAAAAATCCGTTTGCGACAACAAAACAATTAGCCAATTCACCACAGGTTAACACAACAAGCATCACTTCTGAATCAACACTTGAGAAAGAAAACCCATTTGCGGCTTTAAAAGCAGATATTGGATCGGTTGAATCAGCCACCAATTCCAATTTTCTTAACTCACCTTTAAAATTGCCAGCTGACTCGTTTGTATCAGAACCAACCATCATAAACTCTCCATTGTTGAAAAGTACAGAAAACCAACCTTCCATTGATGAAGAGATAAATCCATTTGCCACCAATACTAAGGTAGCAAATTCACCGGCTGTATATGCTGATCCTTTTGCCACAAAGTCAACAATGGCAAATTCACCGGCTGTGGATGCTGATCCTTTTGCCACAAGGTCAACAGTAGCAAATTCACCAGCTGTGGATGCTGATCCTTTTGCCACAAAGTCAACAGTAGCAAATTCACCGGCTGTGGCTGCTGATCCTTTTGCCACAAAGTCAACAGTAGCAAATTCACCGGCTGTGGCTGCTGATCCTTTTGCCACAAAGTCAACAGTAGCAAATTCACCGGCTGTGGCTGCTGATCCTTTTGCCACAAAGTCAACAGTGGCAAATTCACCAACATTGGATAGAACACAAGATCCCATGTCCATAAAGTCAAAGGTCCCAAACTCACCAAAATCTGATGTTGATTCAATAAATACATCTGAATTGAAATCTGAGATACCCAAATCACCAGCACAAAGTTCCCAGGATCCATTTGCTACAAAAACAAAGGTTGCAAATTCACCAGGAATTAATTCAGATGAAAATCCTTTTGAAACAAAATCTAAGGTTCCATGTTCACCAGCAATAGGTTCTGAAGAGAATCAATTTGCAACTAAATCAATGGTTCCAAATTCACCAACTATAATTTCTGAGGTGGATCCTTTTGCTACAAAATCAAAGGTTCCCAACTCACCAGGAATAAGCACAGACGAAGATCCATTTACAACAAAATCAAAAGTTCCAAATTCACCAGCAGTAAGCTCCGAAGATGACCCATTTTCAACTAAATCAAAAGTTCCAAATACACCAGCAGTAAGCTCCGAGGCAGATCCATTTGCTACAAAAACAAAAGTTCCAAATTCACCTGCAGTAAGCACAGAGGAAGATACATTTGCTACAAAAACCAAAGTTCCAAATTCACCGGCAGTAAGCACAGAGGAAGATCCATTTGCTACAAAAACAAAAGTTCCAAATTCACCGGCAGTAAGCACAGAGGAAGATCCATTTGCTACAAAAACAAAAGTTCCAAATTCACCGGCAGTAAGCACAGAGGAAGATCCATTTGCTACAAAAACAAAAGTTCCAAATTCACCGGCAGTAAGCACAGAGGAAGATCCATTTGCTACAAAAACAAAAGTTCCAAATTCACCAACAGTAAGCACAAAGGATGATCCATTTGGTACAAAAACAACAGTTTTAAATTCACCAACAGTTATAAGCTCAGAAGATGACCCATTTACAACTAAGTGGAAGGTTCCAAATTCACCTGCAGTAAGCTCAGAAGATGATCCATTTGCAACAAAATCAAAAGTTCCTAGCTCCCCAACACAAAGCACAGAGGAAGATTCAATTGCAACAAAAGCAACAGTTTCAAATTCACCACTTAGAAATTCAGACGAAGACCCATTTACAAGCAAATCAAAGGTTCCAAATTCACCAGCAATTAGCTTAGAAGAAAATCCATTTGCAAGTAAATCTAAAGTTCCTAACTCACCAACAGTTAGCACAGAGGAGGACCCATTTGCCACAAAATTAAAAGTTTCAAATTCACCAACTGTTAACTCAAAAATTGATCCATTTGCAACTAAATCAAAGGTTCCTAATTCACCTACAACAAGCTCAGAGGAGAACCCATTTGCAGTAAAATCTAAAATTGGGAATTCACCAAAACACAATCTAGATGACATTGACCCATTTGCAACTCAATCTAAAGTACCCAGTTCACCAAAAAATGATGAGGTCAAAATACAGGACAGTATAAAACAGACAATTGGGGAAGATGCCTTTTCAAACAATAATCCATTCTCACCACAATATCCAGCTGTAAACATCACTTCAAAAAGAGGTGCTACAGAATCATCAGGGTAAGAAAATAGCTAGGAGTTTTAGAATACTGTGGATTCATAAGGCCAAAAAAAAATATATGTCTGTTTACGGTTACCCGACCGACCCTACTTTTGAGCGCCGACCCTAAGTCATTTTATTTCTGTCGTAAAGTGAAGTATAAACTGAACTCATGTCAAAAGCGAAGTTAGTGTTGCAGATAATATAAATCAATTGCTGATACATCCCAATGTTCACAATCAATATGACAGCTGTTTTATTGCTGATGAAATAAACACTTTGCTGCCATTTTTTTCCAACCAATTACCAATGGAAATAATCCAATCATTAAAAATACAGGTAAACTCTGCCCATTATCAACTCGCACCCACGACAAGACGAAACGGCATGACTCAAAATCATGTCACAAAAAATAAAATAAAGTGGAAATACCGACCCACCTACACTATTTTTTTTAAAGTATGTAACCTTAAACAGACATATATTTTTTTAGGCCTTATATGTGTTTCAGAAGACTGGATTCATTTATTTTTTATGGATACCTATTTTTGTGGATTGAGAGAAAACTGTTGTTTTGTGGCTATTTGATTTCTTGTTTTTCTCAAAATCTGCATACAAACCTATAGTAAATTTGTACTTTGTTGAATATTTAAATTTGTTGTTAACCTATACCAATGAAATCAACAAAAATTGGTATTCCATGAAAAATAACAGTAATGATTCCACATTATATAAAAATCAAATGTACAAATATTTGTTAGGAACATTAATAATTTTGTGAAACAGAATTTAAGCAATTCAAATTGGTTGAATATGTTTTAACAGGCCTATGATTTTTTTAAAAGGACCATTTGGTTTTGGTTTTTTGTTTTGTACATGTACATAAATCAGGTGATTGGTTTTCTTGTTTGAAGTCTTTTACATTTTGTCATGTTGGGGCCTTTTAAAGCATGTTATGCAGTATGGATTTTTCTCAATGTTGAAGGCCTTACCTGTAGTTGCTTCTAGGTACCTCATTTGATCTTTGGTAACTTCTTTTTACTATATAAAATTTACTTGTAGAAGTTAGAAACCAATTTAATCCCAACAAAACTCTATTATGGCTAATTAAAACCATTAATTTGGTGCAGAGAATTTCAGTTTGATATCTAAAATCACGACAGAAGTTCAAAGATCTAAACTTTTTCTTTCAATTGTATGTGTACATTTTTTTAATTTGTAAAGGGAGTTAAATCAAGGCAATTTAAGTTTTATACGTATACTTAAGAAGTAAATTTTAAAAGTCTTCTTTTTGGACAGATCCTTAGCTTAATGATAGCAAAGGACAATAATTATCTTATAAGGGTTTGTTTATTTCAAGAGTTAGGCCAAAGTGGTGGTTTTCTTTATTTTTCATCTGCTTACTATTTCATGATCAGAGGTTAAAAAAAAAAACATTTCTCAAAAAATCTCAGAATTGTTTTTAGGGATTTTAAATATGGCATTGCAATTTTAGTCATGTAGAAGTATATAGTTGTATATAATATTGTATTGGAAACTTATAAATTCATATGTTACTCTCTCAATTGATAATAAACAAAGGTAATAAATGAATTTTAAGATTTAACTAGTAAAGAATAAAACATTGTTCTTTGCACAGCTTCATAAATTCTAAAATTACATTGATTAGTCTCTCATTCTGGTATCTGGTTTATTTTTTTTCTCACATAACTGTGACAGAGTGGTTAAGGGTACCAGATAACTTTTTACTTTTAATAATCATGATAATTACTATAATACCTATTTTTCAGAAAACAAGATAGTGGACTACTAAACCTGGGACTTAGTATTGATGAAGACCAGTTTAAACCTGCTTCTGATGGTAGGGTGTACTATTAGTGACTCCAAAACTTGTTTACTCCCCCCCCCCCCCAAAAAAAAAAAAAAAGAAATCATGAGAAATTCACTGTTATGTCATGACCAATTAAGTGTATTTTTAATATGACAATTTTTGTCAAAACATAATATCTTAAAAGAGATTTTGATTTAAATGTTGAGAAGTGAACAGCTGTAAATATGATTAATTAATCTTCAAAAAAAACTATGACCCTAATTATTTTATAAGTAGTTGTCTCAATTGCAAACATATTGGAATGCTATTGAACCATTATAATAAATCTACTTTAAGGTAGTACCAAACACCTTGACTAAAATTAATTTGGCTCGTTTAATTTTCATAAAATTTTGACAAAATATTTACTTTGACCCATTGACCAAAATATAAAAATTTCAAAAAACTTGAACCACACACTTTATCGGAAAATTTCATTGGATATATAGCAGTTTGGCAAACACTAATTTTGATCATTGAGAAGCTCTATATTTCCTTAACAATAGAATGTGATTAAAACGTTCAGCTGATTTTTACAGAGTTATCTCCCTGTAGTGTTATGTACCACCTTAATTTATTATTTTTCAGTTTTTAATGACACTGCAGCCTGGGATGCATTAGAAAGTTTTGGATCATGTACATCAGTAAGTTAAATTCTCTCACATCCTTATATTGTGCCATTTTTTTTCATTTCTTAGTATAATTATTATCTTGTTTTTATTTTATTAAGAACAGAAAAAAGAAGGTTTGATAAGAGTTATTTCCAATAAAATTATCAAAAATGCCAGAACTGTCATGAAATAAATTTTTTCATTAAATATAACTAGTGTAACATAAACAGATTATTTTTAATATACATGCCATTTTGGACTGGATGTAAAAAAGTTCGTATTATCTTCATTTAGTCTTGACACTAGGTTAAAAATTCTGATTATCATTTATTAAGCAAAAAGTATAACAAAAATACTAACACCAAGGTCAATTCAAAAAGGGAGAAAATTCCAAAATCAAACGGTATCAATCGAATCAACAGAACAAGTGAAAAACAGCTATTATCATGCAACCAATTTACATAAAAGTCCTTGTGGAGACCACAAAAACAAAATGTTCAGGTAATGGTATTATATTAGGTCATGTTCTATGAATGATAATATAGAAATAAGAAGATGTGGTATGATTGCCAATGAGACAGCTCTCCTCAAGGGACCAAATGACACAGAAATTAACAACTAAAGGATATCTATGTTCTTAACATATTTGAAATAAGTTGACAGCCAACTCACAAAAACTCATAAACTTATTGTGCTTATTGTATTTACCAAATGATGTGTATTTTATGGATTCATTAGAACTTGGTTTATATGTTAGTTAAGATCATTTTTCAAGACCTGAATTTGTTAAGTATTATAATTGGACAATATTTATAAAGATTGTTTCTCACGGACGTTAAGTCTCAACAAAGTCTTATTGAATTTTAAGTGCAAAAATTTCTACTTTATCATTTGCTTATGAAATTATAATCTCCATTTCGCTCTCATTGTCATTTAAGTTAAAAGGCATGTTCTAGACTTCTTTCATTGTCTTTGTTTTGAAATTCTTCATATTTTGGTTGGATAATTATAGAATATAACTAATCCAAGAATTCAAGTACAAAATTCATGAATCAGTGTTGTTCAGTCACCAGTTGGATATTTTTCAATATTTTAATATATAATATATGATCAAATAATGATGGCCTTTAGCAGTCATAGCAAGGAATGGTTGACTCAGTAGTTTGCTTAGGCCAAAATAAATAAATAGTGTGTTTCCGGTTTCCCGACCCTACCTCCGTTTCTGACGCCGACCCTAAACATTTTATTGACAAAAATAAAATAAAAAAAATATTAAAAATCCGTATTTTTCGGTCTGTCCGGATTTGACTATTCGTTTAGAAAACTACCGATCTTTAAAACGTTTGATAGCAATTACCCATATAGATAAATAAAGCGTTTCAAGAACCAAGATTTTAAATAAACAAGCATGGCTTTTTCACAACCGTGCAGCGTATTAGCTGTCAAATATGCGAAATGTGATCACATGGTTGAAAAATATAATGACATTAATTTCAGATAATTACGATATGATGAATCTTTTTAAAGAACACCATGATGGACCTATAGACGAAAAAATACGAAGTTAACCATTGTTAACGCATTTTGCTCAACTTCTTTGCACAGGTACAAGACAAGATTTTTTAAATATTTGTATATATAGTGAATAATGTATTCAGTATATATACATATATTAACAAAATCTCGTTTTGTACCTTGCTTCTTTGAACCAAAAGTCAGAATCGTTTCAGGTTGTACAGACTGTATCTAATTCTGTCGGTTAATTGACAAATAATTTAAGAGTAAAATGAGATCAATTTACTGTTAAAATCAATCCAGCTTTTGTTGTGAAAAATGCTCTTACGAATGTTGTAAAAAATTGTTCTTAGGGCAATATAAACGGCTGTTAATGCTTTTGAGCATTTGACAGTTTGAGTTCACGACGGCAAGGGGGCAGACAATGTGTAACGAGAAATAAAAAGCTTTTCCCAGTAGGCAGACATGGTGTATGATTCATGTTCATTCATAAATGAATCTGCCCCGGCACCATTTCTACTTTTATTCTTTTATATTTTCTCTAGCTGGTCCTACAACAGCTTATACTAGAGAAGGAAAAAAAATCATGTCCTATTAATATCTACAATTTTTTTCCATAGATTTAATAAGACAAGGATTTCACTCTTCTCAGAACCTGGAATTTTAATATTTGAATTTGTCAGAACCCCCCTCTTCAAGATTAAATTCTGTCATACATCAAAACACATCTATATATTAAATAAAAAGGGTGCAAGAGTATTACCCCTCGAAAAATCATTATAAGCCGCTGCTTGGCATCGATTTGCAGTGTTTTTACACCTAAAAAAAAAGGGGGGTTGGGGTAGGAATCTGTTCCCACATGTATATCCTGTGTCATTTACATTGTTAGGTTCAACGAGGCCAAACATAATAATACCATGCCAGATTTTTCACTGCCATTTTTGCTTTAAGATAATTAATCGACAAGAACATATTCCTATACTGACGGACTTTAAAAACGCAACACTAGATTATTCTTTTTTACTCCCATTTTCAAACAGGTAATTTTTGTAAAATAAATGTATAAAGGTAACTTTTATTCATTTCTTAATTGTCTGAAAAAAAAGTTTGCAGTTCAAAAGTTGAGCTCATGATGTCATTTTTAAAGTTTATTTCATGCGGTATATGCACTGAAACCGTGGTTTTCTCCTTATCAATGGATGTATCACCGTTGAAGGCAATGACTGCCTGCAAACCAACGTCAAAATGATTGTCAGAAAGGTCAACCAATTTTGTGGGCATGTTTTGAGTTCTGTTTTGTACCTTTTGAATTTGCCTCTGCACCATGCATTACAGTGTGTTTTAGCAAGTAAGGGGTTTACAATTAAGAGCTTCAAATGTTTTCCTGCAGTCGATTCTTTGGCATTTCAGTAAATGGGAAACATTTTTGGCATGAATCTGTCTACCATGGCATTTGTCGACTTGATTAGCAGTTGACGTTGCAGCCATAAATAAGTCTCACAAATGATGCTGCATAATCAAATTTTATTGACGTTGCGTCGTCACTACATATTGATCTGGTCATGGATGGTCATCAACAAATCCTGTCTGCCTGTACCGTTGTTGTAAGGACAGTAAAACGAGTTTCTGACGTGAAATTGTCTGAAAACAGTACGTTCACGTATTCCTGCCTGCAATATTCTTATGGCCTGATTCAGATTTTCACTGCTTAGTTTCAGCAATATGGAGATGCAACATTTGTTTAATGATTCAAGTGTGGGTACAGATTGAAAGAATTGTTTCACCAAAAAAAATCCTTAAAAAATCATTTGTTGGTTACAAATTTCGCATTGAGAAATTCGTGCGACTTCAATAATCCGATATGTTACATAACCTCAGGTACGTCAGGTATTGAATTTTTCTAACCATAAAGAAGTATGGTAAGCATGAATAGTTGTTATATGAGGATCAATCGTGATTTGGTAAAAAAAGTTCACCAAAATGTGTGTTGCGTTTCTAAAGTCCGTCAGTATATTACGACCCATGAAATGCATAAAATTTGCATTAAAGTTTATTTTCATATTTCTTACACAGAACTAAAACAGAAAATTAAAAAAGCTGAAGATTTAAGTACTATTCTAAATATCAAAAGAAACATGCAAGACACATCAAATGATTTCATTTGGAAACTTTTTCTGCTGTTATCGATAGAAAAAAAAAAAGTTTTTATAAAATAAAATGTTTTACCTACCTACCCTACCTAATTTTTTTCGAGGTGAAATAGGAAACACACTATTTATTTATTTTGGCCTTAGGTAGAATAAATTGTGAAAGTCTTAATACAAACTGTTTCCTTGTGAGCTAGTACGCAAAAATCAAACTCCATGTGTTAATAAAGTTTAAATATGAGAAAGCAGAGTTTACATTATATCGCATCATAATTGTGAGTCATCTCTGAATATGTTTGAAAAATTTACACACTGCATAAAACATTCGTTATTTTTTTGTTTCAGGATCCCTCAACACTGAGTAGACAGTCGTTGTATGTGAAGTTTGACCCCCTCGTCAATCTACCCCCAGATGGTAAGGTTATGTACTTAAAGACTACACTAAAAATCTATATCAATTAGGAATATTCCAACACCAATGAATGCCAGACAAATCATTTTAATCTAATCTTCCAGTCATATCTAATGAAGGTTTTCCTTAAACTGCTGGCTACCCGTTGCTCCATGCATTTCTCATACCTAATCAATGATGATCACAGGATTGATTCTTTAAATTTTTTACTGTGGATTTATTATTATTTGAAGGATACCAATTTTACAGATGAACCACAGATTGCAAATTTTCTATATACTTGTTTGCAGACATTGGCAAACTTCCAAATCAAATATCCATGAAATTTGCATGTTTTCCTTGATCATGGAAAATTGGTACCCACAATATTATATGAATATACAGTACAAGGATGTCTCACTCAAAGCAATAAAACCTTATTACTTATTTTTAATTTGTAATTTGTAACTTAGCTTTTACAGGCTAAAATTGAGAATGGAAATGGGGAATATGTCAAAAGAGACAACAACCCGACCAAAGAGCAGACAACAGCCGAAGGCTACCAATGGGTCTTCAACGCAGCAAGAAAATCCCGCACCGGAGGTGATCCTCAGCTGTCCCCTAAATAAAATTGTGTACTAGTTCAGTGAAACTGGATGTCACACTAATCTCCAAAACATATAAATGAACTAAAATTAAGAAGATTATTTTGTCTTTATAGATCCAAGAAGAGCCAGCATAGATATCAGAAGAGCAAGCATGAAACTGGAGCGACTGAGGGAAATGTAAGTAGCATATGTATATGAGATGAAAAAAAGTGTAAAATGTGGTGAATTTATAAAAACTATTGACTTAATGTCAGTAAACAATCAAACTAACTTCAGCAATCTTCCTCCAATAGTAATCTGAAGATTAGAAAGCACTTACACCTAATGTAATGGCTCTGGTTTAAATTAAATTAATTTTCACGATTACTACAATAAGAAAAATAACAGGAATAAAAAGGGTCACAAACGTCAAACTTGGTTTACTCATAAGAATACACTAAACAAAGTCAAATATTTTGAATATAAATTTTGACGGAAAAGGATCTCAAATAATATGGTTCCTGACTTTGAACAGGCACTGAACTTAGGAAAATTTATTTCGTTTGTCTAGTAATGTTTGTGTTATTTATCAACAAAAACAATCTGGGTCTTTGAGTGGTTAGTACACCAAACTTGGGGTTGTCGCCGTTCAATGACATATTTCATTTTGTACAAAATAGCACCATTTATAATTATGCTGATGATAAAACTACATTTATCATTTAGTGATTATGATAAAGATGAAGTTGTTAAAAGTTTAGAAACTGATAGTTAAAATCTAATAAACGTTTTTTTTCTTTCGATAAATTGAATGGAGGCTAATCCTAACAAATTCTAGGCTATAGCCATTGGAAAAAAAACAAATAAACATATTATTTGGCGTTAAATTTAAATGGAAACAAAATTTCTTGTGAAGAAAATCTTTAACTTCTTGGAATAACTATAGATTCAGGAATAGGTAATTATTGTCCAGTAATCTTGGCACTACTGTAGCAAAAACTTCTTTTAAAATGGAAAAAAATTAAGAAAGAGCTCTCAGATTCATCGATGATGATTATGATATTTTATACGAAAAACTGCTAGAAAAGTCAATACTACCTTCTTAAAAAAGAAGAAGAATAAAAACTATTTCAACAGAAACTTAAAAAATAATTCACAAAAAAGTCCAATCTATTATATTTATCTTCATGATTTAATTGATACTAATATTCAGAAGTATAATTTAAGATCACAGGAAACAACAGTACTCTCAAGAGTCAGAACTACTCTGTATGGTTTGAGATCGTTTCACTATAATGCTGCACAAATCTGGAATGAGCTGCTTAACCTTTGTCGAATGAAAACATCTTTTGACCAATTCAAAATATTGGTACAAACATGGGATCCATATAACAGCTCATGCCAGTGCAGTGCTTGCATATAGTGTTTTTAAGCCTGTGATTTTTATATTTTATTTTGTTTGACTGTTTGATTTGTTCAGATTTTTAGTTGTTATTTTCTACTGTGCTTATTATTCTTACTTATACTATGTTTTAAATAAAACCTGAAATTGAATTCAATTATTAAAAAATATTTTAAAAAAATGAGAGTTACAGCTGGGAAACACCCACTCTTTTGATAATCTATAAGTATTTAAAGATTTCTTTTCTCTTATTCCCTGTCTTAATGTTCCAAACTGTAAATTATGGTTGTTAGCAGTTTTATTTATCTTGTCTTTATAAAAATAGATTGACAGTTAGAAAAGCTATCAAATAAAGAAGGTCAAAGGACAATGAATTAAGTTCTAGTTTGTGTCTATTTAAGATTGGAAAATGACAATTTTATTCAATTTTTTTTTGAGAGAAAAAAAAAACATGCAAGGGGATCTGATTTAACATTGAAGTATTTTGTAGCAATTGTGATGAAAGCTTCCTGCTGTTTGGAACACCTCCAAAGCCTTCCTCAGTTCGAAATGTTGGTATTGTTTCACAAGGTCCATTGGATGGAGGAGCTAAGAAAAAGACCCCTGCTAAGACACCTGTACAGGAATTGAAGAAATCAGCTGTGGACTTGTTATCTGATTCACCTGACATCCTTAGTATGAGCATAAATGTGGTTAGTATATTCAGAATTGCAAAGTTGTCTCCCATTCTTTAACTTACACAAGAGTTGCCATTCTTACCCTACTATGTAATTGATCTTTCTTGCAGATTTTTTGGCAATTTTACCAGTAACTAGAGCATACACAATTGAAGATAGATTCAGAAAAAAAATAAAATTAGCAATTGTAGTTCTTTCTTATATATATATATATATATATATATATATAGCAAATTGAATATCCTACAGATAGATATACAAATGTATAGGATTGAATGTATATATCACAAAAAATATTAAATCATTTGACTTTAAATTCCTTTTCCTTCAATTAAAATGTTTTTGTCACTGAATTATCTTTTTAAAATTTTTTTCAATTAGTAGAGAATTCATACATCAGGATTTTGAGAAATGATAACAGAGTAAAAATTGCTATTTTTGTCGAGCCTTCGACTTTAGTCGAAAAAGCGAGACATAGCGATCCTACATTCCGTTGGCGTTGTCGGCGGCGTCCACAAATATTCACTCTGTGGTTAAAGTTTTTGAAATTTTAATAACTTTCTTAAGTTATCCTGGATTTCTACCAAACTTGGACAGAAGCTTGTTTATGATCATAAGATAGTATCCAGAAGTAAATTTTGTAAAAATAAAATTCCATTTTTTCTGAATTTTACTTATAAATGGACTTAGTTTTTCTGCCGGGAAATTTACATTCACTCTGTGGTTAAAGTTTTTAAAATTTTAATAACTTTCTTAAACTATCCTGAGTTTGTACCAAACTTAGACAGAAGCTTGTTTATGATCATAAGATAGTATATAGAAGTAAATTTTGTAAAAAAATAAATCCATTTTTACCTTATTTTACTTTTAAATGGACTTAGATTTTCTGCCAGGAAACAACACATTCACTCTGTGGTTAAAGTTTTTAAAATTTTAATAACTTTCTTATACTGTTTTGGATTTGTACCAAACTTGGACAGAAGCTTGTTTATGATCAAAAGCTAGTATCTAGAAGGAAATTTTGTAAAAAAATAAATCCATTTTTTCCGTATTTTACTTTTAAATGGACTTAGATTTCTGCCAGGAAACAACATATTCACTCTGTGGTTAAAGTTTTTAAAATTTTAATAACTTTCTTATACTATTTTGGATTTGTACCAAACTTGGACAGAAGTTTGTTTATCATCAAAAGCTAGTATCTAGAAGGAAATTTTGTTTTCTTCCAGTTAACATTACATTCAGTCTGCAGTTAAAGTTTTTAAACATTTATTAGAATCATAAACTATCCTGGATTTTTACCAAACTTGGACAGAAGCTTCTTACAATCAAAAGATAGTATCAAGAGGAATATTTTTATTGATTTACTTCCTCATTTTTGTTGAGCCTGCGATTAACAGAAAAGGTAGGCGAGACACTGGGTTCCGCGGAACCCTTACGAATTTTTTTTCAACATTTACATGTTTTCTGTATTTTTATAATTTTAATTTTTGGATCTTTAATTTGTTATATTTTTTAAAAGTTAAAAAATGCATTTATCCTTTTTTATACCCCTGCTTTAAAAAGGTGGGGTATACTGTTTTATTACCTCTGTCTGTCCATCCATCCGTCCATCCCATGAATATTTTTCGTCGCATCTTTCTCAGGAACTACATTACTCAACAACTTCCTGTTTACCGAACACTTGTATCATTTTACACATGATAGCCAAGTTGTAAATTTTTGTCGCATCTTTCTCAGGAACTACAATACAAGGATTTCTGAAAATTGGTGTCAGGGTTTATATAAGTCAGCTATGCCGTGTGATGCCTTTTCAGATTCATCACTCAACAACTTCCTGTTTACCGAAATATTTGGGCGGGGGTATCATCAGTGAGCAGTAGCTCACACTTTCACTTGTTTGTTCAGTATTCCCGTTCTCTAGTTGTATTCAAAAATCTATTAAATCGTGCATTTATGTATCTACTATGTTATGGTATCTTGTATATAAGCACAGAAGGGCACTTACAGATAAATTTATATCCTCAACAAGCTGATGTCCATTCTATAGAGATGTACTTTTCAAACATTGATTTTAAGGCGTGATATTTTAACTGACCTTACCAGTTCCTTTATAGCACCTCACATATTGAGGATTCATAAATCCTTGGCATTCCATTTTTATGCCCCCACCACTAGCAACTGTAATTCTAAGTTAATTCTTGTATGTTATTTCAAACTAAGCGTCACTTTTACCATTCACAAGTTATTCCACTTTATAAACGTAAAATTTGCTGAATTTTTCATTTTTATAAAAAAAAAAGATGTGGTATGATTGCCAATGAGACAACTCTCCACAATAGACCAAATGACACAGAAATTAACAACTATAGGTAACCGTATGGCCTTCAACAATGAGCAAAACCCATTCCGCATAGTAAGCTTTAAAAGGCCCCGAAATGAAAATGTAAAACAATTCAAACGAGAAAACTGACGGCCTAATTTATGTACAAAAAATGAACGAAAAACAAATATATGTAACACATCAACAAATGACAACCACTGAATTACAGGCTCCTGACTTGGGACAGGCACATACATACAGAATGTGGCGGTGTTAAACATGTTAGCGGGATCCCAATCCTCCCCCTAACTTGGGACAGTGGTGTAACAGTACAACATAAGAATTTGTTTCCTAACTTAAGTTTGCCTCAACTAAATGTTATGACACGTATACACAATGTTTATTACCATAAAACACAAATCAAGTTTGAATTTGTGTGGTGTCACTTTTACAGTTCTCTAGTTATGTCCCTTTATTACGTTTTATGCAAGCAGGGGTATCATCTGTCCATTTATTTTGGTTTGAACATTTCTGATGAAGGTTAATTCAGAAAAGCAGTTAGGATGCATCAAATTTAAAACTGTTCTTTTCATTTAACAACAATGTGTCAGAGGTATTATGACAGTTACTACATTTAGATTATTTTTAAAGAACCTGTCTCTCTTTGAATTGTTACCTTGTAAGATAGCACATTGAAAACTTTAACAAAATTTATCTCTTTGTTTCTTTTTACAGAATCGACTTGGTGAGCAGGCAGAAGGAATTAAAATGAACTTAGCTGATGTGCAAGACTCAGACTCTGGTATTGTTGAGGTATTTATCCCAGTAAAAAAAAAGACCAATCAACACCCACATATTGCTCAACACAATATGAAGCCTTTTTGATCTTGTTTGCTGCGCTCACTCAACAAAAAGCTTCATAATGTGACTTGCAGCTGATATTTTACAATATCAATATGCAGACAACCTGATATTATTATCAATGAAAATCGGTACTTATTTTGTATGCAGCATTTCCTGTCAGCAATAATTAGTCACTTTTTTGTCCATTGTTTTGATCACAATAATCATAATAAGTGCACACATTTTTTTCTAAAGTTAAAGTATTATTAACAATATGAAGTGGTATATTATCATGATTATGTACATGTAATCTGATGGATTTTTCTGCAACACAGTTCTCAACATGTCTTTTCCCCTGGTCTATTGCATTTATCAGTCAGGGGCATTACTTAAACAAGTAATTTTTTTCAGTTACTTAAATAGGTAATTTTTGTTTTTAAGATCATAAAATTACTCCAGAGTTATTTTAAATTTCAATAGAAGCATGGACTAAATGTAGTTTTCATGAATTTTTACATCATTTTATATCATAAAATGAAGAATCTATTAGATTTTAGAGGAGTATAGAGATAAAGGGTTACTTTAAAAATGATATTTTTATAGTCTCAGAGACCTATCTTTGACCCAAAAGCGTCGATATGAAAGATAAGTGCGTCAGAATGGCAATTAGTGTTTCAGAAAGATTAGATTTTATATTTCATGGGAAAAATAACCAGATGACCGTGAAAATTTGTTAAAGCTAGTAAAATCTGTATAGTTGGAAAACTATAAAAATAATATTGAGAAAAGTTACTTATATAATTAATATTTTAAATAGCCTCATTATCAACATTACTTGTATAGATAATTTTAAATGTTACTTGTTTAAGAATAACCCCTGACTGTTTATTGCAAATACCAAAATTGTGTTGTTACTTGTGCAAAATTTTGATGGTCAAAACCTTTGGACAACCACTTTTCCAGAATTCGGCTGAGAGATTAATTTTCTTTTTTTTTTTTTTAAAGGTTCTTCAATACACAGAGGCAGATTGGAAGAAGATGCAACATGCCCTGTTGATGGAAGTTCAAGGGAAAATATTAGCTAAGGAAAGAGAATACGCCTTGATAAAAAAACAGTATGAAGATCAGATGAAAAGGATAATGGAGGAACAAAAGAAAGAATTAGCTTCCAGAGATGAAAAAGCTAAAAAGAATGCCAAGAGTTTTGATGAAATCATGTAAGATTTAATGTTTTATTTTTAGCTCAACTGGCCCAAAGATTTCTGCTTATATTTGTTTGTTATTTCTTAACTCCTTGTGAACTGAAATCTGCCAAAGTTGTGCTGACTCTTCTACAAGAAGTTGTAAACTTGCTATTTTTTATTTAAATCTGTGTGGTGTTTGGTGTTTCCAATTCCAAACAATTTTTAAACTTTATTTGAAGATGGCAGGTGATATATCTGCATTGGAAGACTCACATGTTTTTTTTATCTCTGGGCTTTTCCAGAAAAAAACTATGGGTGGTTGGAAGACACTTTTTTTAGTGCCATCACTCATAGAATTGCATTTTAATTCGCTAATATATAAACCACACAAATTGAAATTTTTGACCTGCCCATCCTTTACAAAAATAATTAAAGTGCCTTTCAACCCCCTAATATTTTTTTTCTGGAATAGTCCTCATTTCATTGGCTACTTACCAAATAATTCATATGTCAAAAAAAGATTGCATAATATCGTACATTATAAAAAAATTATAAATAATAACTGATCTTTTTTATATATTTGTAGGGTTATATTGGCTGAGTATGAAAAGACAATTGATAATTTAATTGGTAAGTTTTCAATTTATGATTGCCAAGCATCATTGAGGAAACCATACTTTTGTATTTATATCCCATTCTAGTCAATATTTTGAAGTATATATGTTTGTTTTTGTTTATACCATTCAAAATTTTGATAGTGAAGTAGACATGCCAGAGTTTTCCACATGGCAACATTATTTTTATTTTATTATATTGGTGATATCTTGATAGACTTCATAATCATGATAATAGAATGGTTTTAAAATTTGCTTTAATTTTAGGAAAACATCCAAGAATGCTTTCAGAAAAAAAATGGATAAAAAGCAGCTGTGTGCTATCACTTTCACTTACCAAAAAACACTATCTAAAATACTGACCTGAATTTCATAGTTTATGTCTCGTTTTCTTTTTTAAATTAGATAAACTGAATAGTCAAGATTTAATGTTGTAAAGATTTTTTTTTTTGATATTATTTCAGCAATAAAAATTGGCATGATCAGCATTGTGATTTAAAAAAAAAAAAAATGTCATTAATCAATTTTTGTTTACCAATCATGCATGATCTTTTGCAATGAACCGATTCAATCACAAATTTTTTCCAGTGTGATTAAGCAATTTTGGAAGGGGAAAAAAAAAACAGTCCAGATTTGCATTTTTGTAGGTGATATGTTAGGTAGTGAGGAACCTCGGCCTTAAAAAAAATCAATTATTAAAATATTTGTGTTGTTCATTTCAGGTGAAAAAGAAAAATTAAAAGAAGAAAAGGATGAAGAAATCAAGAAATTGAAAGATAAAATACAACAAGTATGTGATATAAAGGCAGAAATATACATCTGAATAAGAGACCATTATGTTTATAAAAAATCTAATAAACTTAAAATCTTATGTTAAATTGTGCAAATTCATATAAAAATGAACAAACTACTCTAATAAAACCATAAAAATAGCTATATTTCATTTAAAGGATATAGGAGGAATGCCCCATTCCTATCATAACCACCAATATTTTTGCATGACAAATGAAAAAAATTAGCATGTAAAATGATAATTTTCTAATCAAAGTAATTATCAGTTTGATATTCTTTGATTTTGATCATGAAAAATGTTTATTTTGGACTTTGGTTTTGGGTTGTCTATAATTCTGTACATCTGCACAATTTCTCTTGACAAAGAACAGATGTTGGTAGTAAGGGGATGTTTGAAGTCCTTTCCTACCCTTAAAAATCCATAGAAATAGAAGAACCTTTCCACATTGCTCAGAAAAAGTCTTTGATATTCTCCACATCATCATTCATTTCTATATGTATATTTATTTTATTGCTTTCCACATCATCATTCATTATTTATAGAATAAATAATCGAAGAATTCAAATAGAGAAAAATATTCAACGAGTGACAGAACAACACATTAATTCACGAATGCGCGTAGCGCATGAGTTAATTATCAGTGTTGTTCGGTCACGAGTTGAATATTTTTCGATATTTGAATTCTTTGATTAGTTATTCTTTTTATTACATTGGCAAACAGTTTTTTTAAATGAAATTAATGTAGAAAAATGTAAGGAACTATATTTTTTTTCTACGCATTCACAATTTGTTTTGATCCGACGTTATCGACGTCTTGACCATGCCTATTGTTGTATGACGTCAGAGAGTAAAATAACCACGTTTATTTCACATGTGAAATTATCGGTTTTTATTTGACTGGGAAATCAATGTAATTCATTGCTACCAATGTAATAATACACATTTATCTATTTTATTTATATGCTTTTTTGTTGTAGCTAAATACTGATGAACAATCAGTAGAAACTACCCTGTCACTTCTTCACCAACGATATGAAAAATTGAAAACAGTTCTTCAAGGATATATAACGGTAAGATCATTTTTGTCGAGCCTATGAGACATAGCGATCCTACATTCCGTCGTCTGGGGCGGCAGCGGCGTCCACAAATATTCACTTTGTGGTTAAAGATTTTAAAATTTTAAAAACTCTTAAAATTTCCTGGATTTCTACCAAAATTTGATAGTAGCTTGTTTATGATCATAAAATTGTATCCAGAAGTAAATTTTGTAAAAAAAAAATAATCCTATTTATCCGTATTTTACTTATAAATTGACTAAGTTTTTCTGCCAGTTAACATTACATTCACTCTGTTGTTAAAGTTTTTAAAAATTTAATAACTCAAACTATCCTGGATTTGTACCAAACTTGGACAGAAGCATGTTTATGATCAAAAGCTAGTATCTAGAAGGAAATATTTCCTGTTTTTCCATATATTACTTATAAATGGACTGAGTTTTTCTGCCAGTTAACATTACATACAGTCTGCAGTTAAAGTTTTTGAAACATTTATTAGATTCATAAACCATCCTGGACTTTTACCAAACTTTGACAGAAACTTCCTACAACCAAAATTTTTTTGATATGAGCTAAACAACTATAATCTTTAATATAGTCTTCAGAATAATTAGGTCTTTCCACTTTTCTGTGGAAAGACCTTTTGGTTTCCTTCTGATTATTATTATTAATTTTTCTTCTTCCGCCACATACAGTGCTTTGTGGTTTCGCAAGATGTCCCTTAGATTTTTGCATATGATATCGAACAGTTATTGTGCTTTAGAAACTGACCCTGTTTAGCTGAACACTTTTTATTGTAAGAGTTTTCTCCCGAAATACTGTTTTTCTTGTGTACGCATCTCCTTCGCAACCGTTAAAGATTACGACAAAATTATTTCACCAATTTGCTCGTTATATCCTTAGGATCTTAAAAATAATTTTGACCGAAGTGGTCCTGAAACTCCATATGAGAGTTATTTCCCCTTCTGTATTTAAAATAAGTAAAATGTAATTGTAATTGGTAAACCATAAGTGATACAGACCTAGGGTCTTTTGGTTTGAGGTCCTTGGTCCAAAAAAAAGAAAATAGGGTCAAGGTCATTTCTAAATTTGGATTTTGGCTCATTTTCACCTCTTTTCAAACACCATATAAGATATCGACAACATATTTTTACTTAATTGTTAGTTGCGACATGACGTAACACATGCATTTTAGTTTAAAGGGTACGCTAACATTAAATTAGAGTTTTCTCCCCTCTTGTATTTAAAAATATGCGTATGGTGATATAATAACCAAATATGATTAAGACCTAGGATCTTTTGATCTGAGGTCCTTGGTTTATGATTTGAAATTGAACTCAAGGTAATAGGTCAGTTTGATTTTCTAGATTTTCACCTTTGCTTTTACCTCATATGTATACATGTTTTAAAAGCCATGGGACTTTTTGCATTAGACTTCATGCCATTTAACCTTGGAAAAGCCAACCGAAAGTGACCTTGTGTAAACCGGAAGTAGCTATTTTTGTACTTGATTAATAAAAAAGTATATGGAACCAGATATTTTTGGAATCAGTGTCAAGTAAACTTTTAAATAATACCAGAAGTATTTTTTTCAAACCGGAAGTAACAAATTATTTCCATTAGTTAAATAATATTGTATAGAAACCATACATTTTTGGAATCAGAGTACAATAAGCTATCATTAGACGCTGGAAATGTCATTTTAAACCGAACTTTACTATTTTAATATCCAGATATATGTTTTTTTGGTGGAAAGACCTTCAATTTGGTTTTTAATTGTAAGGTGTAAATGTTTGTCTGACAGGGGTCACCTGACCTGTACCCCATTCATCAAAGTTAAGATTTTATGATGTACTGTGGATTCATTAATATTCGTTGAATACCAATTTTTGTGGATTTCTTGGGTACAGGGGAACCACGAAATTAAATATTCAACGAATTGCAAATTTTACTAAAGGAATGTTTGCAGACTTTGCCAAACCACGAAATTAAATATCCACGAATGTTCAAATTTTCCTCAAACCACGAAAATTGGCACCCACGAAAATAAATGAATCCACATTATGTTGTAGTCCTGACACGCCATTTAAGGCATGTAAATTGTTAGAAAAAGTTTTTTGTCAAAACTTATCAGCAAATCATTAAAGATATTAAGCCTTTCAGGATGTCCATTCCTGTTGAATATATATATATATATATATTAACATTGTTCATATACTACAAAGAAAATACTCTTCATAGATACCAAGATAAATTTTTGTATGCACGCACTTGTCAACATAATACTCATCAGTGATAATCGAATCAAATAGGTAAAGAAGGCCAAATAAATTACGAAATTAAAGTACTTAGAGGACCCAAAGTTGACAAAGACCATGAGTCTGAGTGAATCTGTCTTAAATACTAATTTGTTATTATTTATAGAACGAAGAAACCTTAAAGAAGTATGGAGATGAATGCACTGCTAAAGTTAAAGCTACAGAGGAGAAAATGCAGGCTTTGAAAAAGGATGCTGAAGCCAAATTACAAAAGTAGGAGGATGTTTTCTTTTCATTCTTTTTTTTTTATAATTTATTTTATTTTAATAATCAGTTAATATATGAGTATCTAGTTTTTAAATGACCCAAGTTAAAAGTTCTTGAATCTCCAATTATCCAAGTACGCAAAATTATGCTAGCATACAATTGAAATTATATGAACCATTGCATCATAGACAACTTAATGTGAACATGGTGGATTTACTTCAATTTCTAAATATTTTAAGAAATAACATTATCAGTACCAATTTAACTCCATTTGATGCACATAACTGAATAAAAAACATTTCCAAAATGATATAAAAATTGTATAATTGTTTTTTTAGCCAAGAATACTTTTATGTTTTATTAGATATTTAAGGAAATACACAAGGAGTATCTGCTTTGCATCATTGCAGTTTTAATGGACCAACTTTACTTTCAAGATATGTGAATGACTCTGTATCAGATTAAGGCATTTTGAAATAAATTTGTTCAGTGAACAATCATATGTCCTTGCCCTTGTTTCAAAAATTGAAAATTATAAAACTTTTCTATATTAGTGTTTAATCTTTTTTTCTTATTTGTATAGAGCTAATACTGAATATGAAACATTGAAATCAGAGGCTGAGGCTGAAGGATCGAAGTTGAAAGTTGCCTTGAAGAGGAAAGAGATGGAATGTCAGCGTAAAGAAAATGAAAAACAGAGCCTACAGTCACAGTTAGAACAAAAGGTAATTTTTATCATCACCAAGTTTGATTTGGGGTATGGAAATATAGAAATCTTGGACAGTAGTAAGATGAGGGTTTGGTTGTTGTGTATAAGTACTCGACCAAATCTCATTGGAGTAGTGATGATCGTCAAAGGTCAGAATATCTGTAAACTTTAACAATTGTTAAAAAATGTATATATCCTTTGCCACAACAATAGAAAAACAAAGGATATTGGGCATCTATCTATGACACAAAATCAGTACACACAAAAAGCAAAGGAACATCCCTTTTATTGCTGTTCTTTATCTCAAAGCCATAGTGAGGCCTTCAACATGTAGCCAAAAAACTCTCACCTCACTGCAAGCTTGGAGCTTTTTAAGTCGGCTCTATTCAGCAGTTTATGTGACAATAATTATTTTGATCCATTAAGATGTCAATCAAATCTATAGCACTTCTAATCTATGATAAGGAAAGTAGAGCATTAAAGAGGAAGCTCAATTAACAGCTGTGTAAACATCTGGTCTATTCAAATAAATCTTGCATTAATTTTACAGAAAATTATGGCTACTTTAGAAACTATAAAATAGATTAGAAATTCTTCAATATTACTGTACAATGCTTAGAAAACAGTATCAAGTCTTCACAGAAAGAAAATGTTTTTAAAACATTTTCTTAATAACTATCTTCTTTTTTTTAATACACATGATACAAAAATAAATAGTCAAATTTTATATTTTAATTATAAATATATTTTAAGTTTATTCTATATGAAATGAAATATAAAGTCATCAAAGACACTAACTATGATTTTTTTATTTCTAACCATACTTCCAAAACATAGTACATTCAGTTTCATTGGGAAAAGGGCAGGCCTCTACAATAACTTTTTTTCAACTTGTCCAGTAGGACAAGTACATACCAAAACTTACTTGTCCGAATGAAATTGTAACTTGTCCAACAAAAATCTTAATAATAACCTTTTTTGCATTTTAAGTTGATTCAAGGAACAAAATGAATTAAAACAATAGAACAGAATTTGATTTATATCTTTTGAAATACCTTTTAAAAATATGAGTCGAGAACAACTGAATCTAGTCATGTCACAGGACTTAGGTTCTAGTTTTCATCAATGCCAAAGTCTCATCAGACTCTACACATGAGGCACCTTCTGATAGGCCTGTCAATTTCCACTCATTGGATTTGTATCCTGGTTTTTTAAGTTGAAAAAAGTTTATTCAAATGCAGTCAATGAAAAAAAGAAGATGAGGTATGATTGCCAATGAGACAACTCTCTGCAAGAGACCAAATGATACAGAAATTGATAACTATAGGTCACCGTATTGCAAGTATTGTTTTTTTTTCTATATATGATCAAATATGATTTGGGAATTTTATGGTAAATAATTAGGTATGGTATTTATTATAAAGCAACAGAATAAGGTAGGAAAATGAGGTACTGATTTGTCTTGGTCCCAAAATGTCTCCTGTCTCCTGCGTTGCCAAACTGTCTAATAATCATGTCTATTAAATATGTCTCCTACGGTGCCAAACTGTCTATTAAATTTGGAGCCGAATCGTTTCCAATCTGGTGACGAACTGTCTTGTAAAGTTACCTTATCTACAAAGCGCATCGCTGATTCGGATCAGTAAGACTGGTTTCCGAGAATAGTATGCCTTTTACCTGTTAAAAAGTACCTGACAAAGAACCAGTTTTAAATTATCGATTGCAAGTAAACATGTCAAATTAATACTTGTGTTTATAATTACTTTGTTCATCAAAGTTGGATTAAATTTATTTTCTGCATAATAATTTAACTTGTCCCGTGGGACAAGCTTGATATAGATTTTGCTTGTCCGACCTTTTTTTCCTCTGGTATCGGACAAGCGTTATTGTCGAGCCCTGAAGGTTTGATCTTTTTTTTATATTCAATTTAATTTCACAGTTGTTGGAAATGAGCCCTCCATTTCATTGCAGAAAAGTTTTTTGAGTTGTAAGCATGTATCTTGTGTGTTTCAAAGCAATAAAAAAAATCTATTTTGTAAACAGGGAAAGAGGGGGAGAGAACTTGATTGGTTAACTTCTGGTGATGTTTACTTTCTTATATGCACAGAAATGTAAAGTTGTATTTTTACTGAAGTACAGGACAGGATAAATCTTTATTCATGTTAATTATTTCTTTATTTAAAACAAAGATAAATTCTGCACATTATTTTTGAAAAATATCAATTAAAAACAGTTTTACTGTAGTACAGGATAAAACTTTACTCGTGCCAATTATTTCTTTTTTTTTAAACAAAGCTAAATCCACACAATTTAAAAAAAAGAATGCCTATTAAAGAGAGACATACTAGAGGGAAAAAATTGGTGGTATTACCCTCAAACCAGCCTTTCAATAATGAATTACAACTTTTCCTAAAGTAGCCATAATTTTCTATAAAAAAAACTAAGTTTGCTATTTTATATTAAAAAAAAACTAACATATTACTATTTATTAGTATGGGGCATTACTTAAACAAGTAATTTTCAAAATTACATATACAAGTTATGTTGAAAACAAGGCTGTTTCAAATATTACTTCTATATCATGATCATGAATAAGTTACTTCTGTTAATATTCTTTGTATAGGTGTCCATTCATACAGGTTTTACAAGCTTTAACAAATTTTCACAAACATCTGGTTGTTTTCCCCATGAAATATAAAACTATTTAAATCCTCCTAAAGCACTAATTGCCTTTCTGATGCCATACTTCTTGGTCAAAGATTGGCCTCTTGCGGCTATTAAAATATCACTTCCCCTTAAAATCTTAGAGATAGACAGATATAGATAGATGGAACCTTGTGATTAAATAAAGACAAGAAGTTATTTATAATTTGAATCTTAATCAAAAACAATTACAAATGTTCCTTAATTAATTGTAAGTACTAAGTTTTTTGGAAGATGAATAACATAATTTATAAAAGTAATATTTTTCTCATTATTTTTAAAGAAACCTCTCTTTACTCATCTCAAAAACTACATTAAGTCCATGCTTCTTTGACATTTAAAATAACTATAGTTATATAATTTTAAAAAACAAAAAATACCTATATAAGTAACTGAAAAAATAACTTGTTTAGTATCACCCCTGATTGTTGTTTGTGTCTCGATAACTTTTATGCAGCATATTATATAATATAAACTATATTTCAATCATATCATCTAATCATAAAATGAGAATTTTTTTTATTATTAAAAAGGAATGATAATATAATATAATAAGAAAATATTTAAATGACTTTTACTTTTTGAGGAGAATTGAGATTTCTTTCCAAGCCATTACACAGTACTGCTGAAGAATTTCTAATCTATTTTAGTTTTGTAAAATTTCATGCAAAATGTTATTGAATAGACCAGATGTCCTTATTATAGAAGTGGTATAAATTTGATTGACATCTTAATGGATCATGATAATTATTGTCACAGAAACTGCTGAGAAGAGCCTACTTAAAAAGCTCCGAGCATGCTCGGAGCTTCCTCGTAAGAATAAATCTATGATCCCTTACATCTTCCAAAAATGCACCTTTTTTGTTGGCTCTCTTTCCATAAATTGTTTAATCATCCAATGAAAAAGCTCACGACAAGACATTGTATTCAATCTATTTCTGATTCATAGACAAAAGGCTAAATCCTCCTGAACATGCATGAAATATTTGCCACTGGCATTAATCAACCAACAATCAATCATACAAGGCTATTTAAAAGTTTTACTAACAGACTCAACAATCACATAGAAATTTTAGCAAGTGGTTCTAAACCTTCCAACTGAATAATTACTACAATCTACAATTGTATTTGTCTTCTGTTTACACATATATTTAATAATTACTTTGAAATGATTTTTCTTTTCCTTTGCAGATACAAGAAAATACAGAACTAACAAGTTTATGTGATGAACTTTTATCAAAAGTGAAATAAACATTGGAATCAATATTCATAATAATCAATATAGTTATTTTAAAGAACATGCACTTAGTCATAGTTTACATTTGGCAATATAAGTCAAAATGGTGTTTGTTATATGACTTTCACATAATAAGCCACATTTGTTTTTGGTTGATTATGTGTGGTATAATTCGAGTAACTAGTATCAACCATGTGAAGCGGATATTAGTTATGAACAAAATTTAAACATTTCATGACATGCTTGATGAAAGCCATTTATATAACTTGGTTGCTTTTTTTGTTTTTCATTGCAAAGTGCTATATATTGCCTTTGCCAAGCTCAAATGCCAGACAAAAAAAACAAGAATTAAAAGTTCAACTTTTTATTTGAAATTGCCAATATGCCATGTTTGTTTAAAGCTTAACTTTATAGTGTAAAATTTATAGATTATAGACTGATTTCTGTCTTTTCTCTCGCTCTTTTCTCCTTCACCATTTTTAAGTTATTTTTGTTGATGTTTTTCTTTATGTATTAAGTGCTTTGTGTAATTATTTTCAGCATATTAAAAGATATTTATATAGCTGTTGACTTCTTACAGATACTAGATTTGTATTGATTATATTTAGACAGGTGATCTTGTTTGATGTTTATGATTTATTTCTTGATGGAAAGTATGGAAAACAATTGTTTTTAGTATATATATATATGAAAGCAATTATTTTGTCATGCCCTACCTACGTTATTAAGGTGGCATTTTCTTTTCTGGTCTGTCCATTATTACATTTGTCTGTCCTGTATCAGGTTTAAGATTTTGGTCAAGACAGTTTACAGTTTAAGTTGTGGTCAAATCACAGTACACTTGATCATTATGTGAACTTACAAAATTAAACGGTTTTGACCCTGATTTCACAGTTGACCTTACATAGAATTGTGATACTGGAGCAGGGCATGGTATCTTATGGAAATATATTCTTGTTTTCATATCTAAATGTTCTGCAATTAAAAGTAGATATTTAAAAGTATAAATTAATATCAAAGGCACTTTTTTGTTATATTTTTAGCATGGACTCTTCCATGAGGTACTGGATGGAGGGGGAGGGGTCCTTGATTTCTGTTTTCTCTTGATATTATTTAGTTCACTTTTCTCTATTCTTTGTACAAAAAATACCCAATTTTCTCTATTTTTTATTTTTAGCACTTCTTTCTGTAGTTTTGATCCATCATTCTCTTCTGTAAAACCCATCCAGACTCTTCCATTTTTATCAAACAAAATATAATAATAGAAAAAAAAAGTTAATTTTTTGTTTGCATTAAAGTTTATAGAAAAAAAGCTGAATTTATACTTTGAAAACCTAGCTTTAGGAGGCCCAAACTTCAATAGAGTATTTTGTGATATGCAATTTATTGTTGATTTGCATATATATAATATATATATATGACTACTTATGTCTTTTATGAACAATGTACAATAAACTGATTTCAGGACATTGTAAATAAATGATTTGAGGAACTAAATGTAGAAACATGTAGTAGTTGTTGAATGACTTTGTAATTCAATTTGGGGTACTATTGGAAAAAAGTAGAATAACAAAAATACCGAACTCCAAGGAAAATTCAAATTGAAAAGTCCCTTATCAAATTGCAAAATCAAAAGCTCAAACACATCAAACGAAAGAAAAACAACGGTCATATTCCTGACTTGGTACAGGCATTTCCTTATGTAGTAAATGGTGGATTAAACCTGGTTTAATAGCTAGCTAAACCTCACTTGTATGACAGTCGCATGAAATACCATTATATTGACAACAATGTGTAAAAAAAGGGGTACAGCAGTCAACATTGTGTTTTAATCTTTATCACTATAAAAACAAATATGTCAACAAAGAAAATCAAAAAGGCATATAGACAATGCACATCAGCAAAAATGAAAGACAGGAATACAAAAAATTCATAAGTGTTCCGCGGAACCCAGTGTCTCGCCTACTTTTGCTGTTAATCGCAGGCTCAACAAAAATGAGATGAGGAAAAAATTTAATAAAAATATTCCTCTCGATATAATTTTTTTATTGTAAGAAGCTTCTGTCCAAGTTTGGTAAAAATCCAGAATAGTTTATGAATCTAATAAATGTTTTAAAAAATTTAACTGCAGACTGTATGTAATGTTAAATGGAAAAAAACTTAGTCCATTTATAAGTAAAATATGGATAAACAAGTACAAAATTTTAATAAAAATTTCCTTCTAGATACTAGCTTTTGATCATAAACAAACATCTGTCCATGTTTGGTACAAATCCAGGATAGTTTAAGAAAGTTATTAAAATTTTTAATATGAATATGAATGTGATCAGTAGAAGATCTTTATTTACACAAACTACAGATATGAATGTGACAAGTTTGAGATCATTATTTACAAATACTACAGATATGAATATGATTAGTAGGAGATCTTTAAATACACATACTACAGATATTAATGTGATTAGTAGAAGATCTTTATTTACAAAAACTACAGATATGAATGTGACAAGTTTGAGATCTTTATTTACACATACTACATTTATGAATGTGACAATTTGAGGTCGTTATTTACACATGCTACAGATTTAAATCTGAACAGTAGGAGACTTTATTTACACATGCTACAGATTTAAATCTGAACAGTAGGAGACTTTATTTACACATACTACAGATTTGAAAGTGACGAATAGAAGATTTTCATTAATACATACTAAAAATATCAATGTGACCAGTAAGAAATCTTTATTTACACATACTACAGATATGAATGTGACAAGTTTGAGATCTTTATTTACACTTGCTACATATTACAATCTGAACAGTAGGAGATCTTTATTTACACATACTACAGATTTGAAAATGACAAGTTTGAGATCTTTATTTACATATACTACAGATTTGAAAGTGACCAATGGGAGATCTTTATTAACACATACTAAAGATATCAATGTGACCAGTAAGAGATCTTTATTTACAAATACTACAGATATGAATGTAATCAGTAGAAGATCTTTATTTCCACAAACTACAGATATGAATGTGACAAGTTTGAGATCTTTATTTACACATACTACATTTATGAATGTGACAAGTTTGAGATCTTTATTTACAAATTCTACAGATTTGAAAGTGACCAATAGGAGATCTTTATTAACCCATACTTAAGATATCAATGTGACCAGTAAGAGATCTTTATTTACAAATACTACAGATATGAATGTGATCAGTAGAAGATCTATATTTACACATACTACAGATTTGAAAGTGACAAGTTTGAGATCTTTATTTACATATACTACAGATTTGAAAGTGACCAATAGAAGATCTTTATTAACACATACTAAAGATATCAATGTGACCAGTAAGAGATCTTTATTTACAAATACTACAGATATGAATGTGATCAGTAGAAGATCTTTATTTACACAAACTACAGATATGAATGTGACAAGTTTGAGATCTTTATTTACATATACTACAGATTTGAAAGTGACCAGTAGGAGATCTTTATTAACACATACTAAAGATATCAATGTGACCAGTAAGAGATCTTTATTTACACAAACTACAGATATGAATGTGACAAGTTTGAGATCTTTATTTACACATACTACATATTTGAAAGTTACCAATAGGAGATCTTTATTAACACATACTACAGATATGAATGTGATCAGTAGAAGATCTTTATTTACACATACTACAGATATGAATGTGACAAGTTTGAGATCTTTATTTACACATACGACAAGTTGGAGATCTTTATTTACACATACTACAGATATGAATATGACCAGTAGGAGATCTTTATATACACATACTACAGATATGAATGTGACCAGTAGAAGATCTTTATTTACACAAACTACAGATAGGAATGTGACAAGTTTGAGATCTTTATTTACACATACTACAGATATGAATATGATTAGTAGGAGATCTTTATATAAACATACTACAGATATGAATGTGATTAGTAGAAGATCTTTATTTACACAATCTACAGATATGAATGTGACAAGTTTGAGATCTTTATTTACACATACTACCTTTATGAATGTGACAAGTTTGAGATTTTTATTTACACATGCTACAGATTTAAATCTGCACAGTAGGAGATATATATTTACACATACTACAGATTTGAAAGTGACAAGTTTGAGATCTTTATTTACACATACTACAGATTTGAAAGTGACCAATAGGAGATCTTTATTAACACATACTAAAGATATGAATGTGACCAGTAGAAGATCTTTATTTACACATATTACAGGTATGTATGTTTGCAGTGTGAGATCTTTATATACACATACTACAAATATAAATGTGGTCAGTAGGGTATCTTTATTTATCTACCTTCTATACATTTCTAGGAATATGATTGGTTAAAAGCGTCTGCGTTATTTAAATGTTTTGAAAGTTCTGTTTAATATTGTTATATCAAGGTTGTTGATATTAAATTGTTATTGTTGACATTTTTTTTTGTGCAGACCATTGGATGTAGATTCTTAAAGTTTAACATTTGAACACTTTAATATAAAAATAAGAAGATGTGGTATGATTGCATTTGAGAAAACTCTAATCTAAATTCAACGAAAAAAGATTGTCCGTAAGATAAATTCGTTACATAGTGTGCTAGTGACCTAATACGATATATACGGGGTCAGTAAATTCCATATGGGGTTCGAGCCTCGCTCTCACCCCATATGGAATTTTGCGAACCCCGTATATATCGTATTAGGTCACTTATTCACTATGTAACTGATAATACACATACTACAGATATGAATGTGACATGTAGGAGATATTTATTTACACAGGCTACAGATATAAATGTGACCATAAGGCGATCTTTATTTACACATATTACAGATATGAATGTGACCATTATTAGATCTTTATTTACACATACTACAGATATGAATGTGACCAGTAGGAGATGTTTGTTTACACATACTTCAGATATGGATGTGATCAGTGATCAGTAGGACATCAAAAGCTAGTATCTAGAAGGACATTTTTTTTTAAATATATTTCCTGTTTTTCCATATGTTACTTATATATGAACGTAGTTTTTCTTCCAGTTAACATTACATACAATCTCTAGTTAAAGTTCCTAAAACATTTATAGGCTTCATAAAGTAGGCGAGACACTGGGTTCCGCGGAACCCTTACATATTTTTGCTGAATATATGTTCTTTTCTATATGCCATTTTGTTTTTCTTTGTTAAAACAGTTATTTGTTTTTATAGTGATTACGATTATATTGCGGTGTTGATTGATGTATTTTTGACGTTCTTACCTATTACATAGATATAGGAAGAGGTGTTATGAGTGCCAATGAGACAACTCTCCATCCAAGTAACAATTTATAAAAGTAAACCATTATAGGTCAAAGTACGGCCTTCAACAAGGAGCCTTGATTCACACCGAATAGCAAGCTATAAAGGGCCCCAAAAACTACTAGTGTAAAACCATTCAAACGGGAAAACAACGGTCTAATCTATATATAAACGAGAAACATAAAACACTTATGAACCACATAAACAGACGACAACCACTGAACATCAGATTCATGACTTAGGACAGGTGCAAACAATTGCAGCGGGATTAAACGTTTTAATGGTACCAAACCTTCTCCCTTTTCTGATACAATAGTATAACATCACAACATAGAAAGACACACTATAAAATATCAATTGGAAGGCTTAACTCAATCAAAAAACGTAGTAACACAAATTAACACACAACGAACGTATCTGTGATACAATGCAAATACATAGTTCATAAAAATAAGGAAATAAGAAAAACATCAACTTTGAAGAAAATTACGTCATATTATACACTGGTAAATGAAAATAATTTTGTTGTTAAGTATACTTCTTCTTCAGTGTGTATAATCTTCCGTTTAGGATTAACAAGAAATTTCTTGTATATCAATAAAACTAATCTAAAACTTGGTACATATGGGGTGAATATCAACAATAAAACTATACAATTGGTGCTCGATAAAACTTCGTGTTCTTCATGTACAGGTGCCGGAATAGTATTTAAGGAGAAATAAAATAATTTTGATGTTCAAAGTACGGAGAAGTGAAAATTTGTAGTAATTCCAAACAATCGAAGCTGGTATATAGACAAGATCCATGTTATTATTAAATAACAAAAAAGCATTACAAATAGTATCAACAGGTCAAATTAACAAAAAAGTACGATTTGAGAGTACTCGCTGTTACTGACAACTAGTTTAAAGCAAAAACAATTAATAATTAAAAAAAGCATGCATCAGAGACTAAAATCAACTAAAACACATCCCAGGGATTTAGTATTTTAACGTCATGAACAGTTAAAGAAGACATGACTTGTGCACAGCCAAAAATAAATGTATCGACAGGCAGTAGGATAGTTAGGAGTTTAGTTCTTTATAGATAAAAATGAACGTGTGTGTGTCTTTATACATCCCGTTTGAAAAGAAAATACAAATTTAGTTATGTTTTAATTTGCTGAT